AGTCCCGATAGAATCCCTATATAACCCAAAAAGGTTAACCTTTAAGTCCCCATGATACACGACAAGTAGGGATTCCTTCTTGCTGAGGGAGGGGAGGATTCGGGCCTGAGCGTTCTGCTTGGGTCCGAAAAGGGGATGTGGGGTGCAGATAAGTTGTCTAGGGTGCCATAGCGGTGGGGGTTTAATTAGTGTTCCTGTGTTGGTGGTTTGGGGAAGTTCCCACAAGGGAAGGATTTAGGGTTGAGGGTTTGAGATGTCAATTCCGGCATCGCAAGATCATGAATTGTAGCCGGTAGTGAGTGGTGCTACGGTTTGGCGTGATGCTGCTGCTTTTGTCACTTCCCAAGCCCGGGATGCAAAAAGGGTTGACGATGTGTGAGCGCTCTTTCTTGCATGGACCACTGATGGCAAATACAGCGTTTTGTTCGTAGGGTTCTTAGGTCCCGTAAGGAGAGCCTAGGCCAACCATGAAGTCGCACCAGTTATGGGCCTATGAAGCGGGAGAGTTCTGCAGAGCACCATCCTGAGTGGTTTGGTATGTTTCCAGTTTGTTCGAGCGGGAGCGCAGGCCCCGCCGCAACCTGCTTCCTTTCTTTATCCGTCTAGAGCACTGGGTCAAACCTGAATCCCCCTAAACCCCTAAACCCTAAACTGTCGTGAGGATATTTAGTTTGCGATGTTGTTGCTGCTGAATCATCCCTGTTAGAGACGTTTCACTCACCAGACTCCGAACCATATGCCTCGCCTGGATTCTCCGAGTGCGAGCGCCGAAACCCTAAACTGAAAGTCGGCTACCTCTCCGGACCAGTCAAAGCACTCTGAACCCCCAGACCTCGCATGGCTTGCCCAAGTTGCGAGAGTGTAAACTGTCGAAACCCCGAAACCCCGAAACCCTAAAGCGAGCACCGATGTAGGGGCCTTAATAATTATTATATAATGCAATTTTGGGGGTTCCTGGTTATAATTATAGTACAATGGGCCCCAAAACCCTATTCTAAGTCTTATGGCCCCTACACTAAGGCTGGAGCACCGTGGTGACCTGCACGGCTGGGTGAAAGCCAGCGATGGAACCTGGAGCTGCGGCCTTCTTGTCCCTCAGGAGCTGAGTTTAGCAAAGCTTTTGATGGTTTTGGGTTTGGGTTTTGGACTATTGCGTTTTGCAAAGAGGGTTTAGGGAGTTCAGTTTAGGGTCTTCTTTTAGGGCTTAGTTTTGGCCCTTAGAATCTCAGCTGAGAGCTGCTTTTGAAGTTGAGTTTGTAGTTTTTTGCGTCCAGGACTTACTCAGGAGATAATTAGGAGCTGGGACTGCGGACTTTCAGTGTTTGGGGTTTAGCTTCTAAAACCTGGAAGTCAAGATTTTCTCGGTGAACCGTTGGAAAACTTGACTGCAAGCTTGGATCAATCTGACCTATGCCCTAAAGGCCCTAATCCTAAACCCCCAAAGGCCTCGTCTGGCGAGTCCGAGTTGCGAGAGCGTAAACCCCAAAGCCCTAAAAAGCCCTAGGCCCTAGACGCCTGAACCATAAATTTAGGGTGTAGGGGTTGTAAGATAGGGGCTTAGGGTTTAGGTTAAATTCCTGAATTCTATGCACCGGGAATCTAAGGTCCCCATCGGGCGAGTCAAGGAGAGCACGCGCGTGTGCATCCGCAAGATTGCCGAAGAGCTCAAGGGCAAGGAGGGGTTTAGAGTTTGGGGTCAGGGTTTAGGGTGTTTAGGATTTAGGGCTTATGATGTTTATGGTGTAAGGGGAGATGTCGGAGGCTGTAAGCCCTCAACCCCGCAAAAGAGCCCTGTGAGGAGAAGGGCGGGTTCCGTATGACGTGCAACCAGTCTCTGGTGCTGGAGAACATCTCGGAGGTCATGAGGGTTTAAGCTGTAGGCCCGTAGGGCTAAGCCGTAAACCCTAGCACGGCTTTGGGGCTTGTTGGCTTTAAAAGGTAAAAGGGTCTAGGGGTTAGGCATCCCGGAGGCCAAGAGGCCGATCATCCAGAAGCTTCTCGATGAGTACCAGGTGATGCACAGCAAGGACCATCTGAACCCTCAAAAAGTCAACAATCTGCATTTTCAGGTTTTTTATTGGAAAGTTCTACACTTGTTGTTCGGGCTTGCTACATATTGAGGGTTCGGCATTTTGATGTCCACCTTTGTAAGGACGTATACAAAGACAGTCTTTGCATACGTCCTTACACAGGGCATGCTGGGGTTCAGGTAGGGGCCAAATCGCTTCATTCCATACACGCTGTTAGAAACCACCCCGTTTAATAGATGTGACCCTAAAGCCTTTATGTTTAAGCTGTTTGCCGTGCCGTGCCCTTAAAGGAGACCACTGTGAGCGGCCTGCGCCGCAACATGGTGGCCTGCGTCGCCTTGCCAACCTGCCCGCTGGCCTTCGCCGAAGCAGCGCCTTGTCCCCAATCGGAGGCGAGAGATACTATAGAGGCCTTAACAAGTGGAATAGGGTTCTTCTAAAGGGGTTTTTAACGGCTATTATAAGGGTATTATACAAAAGGGGCCTTGACAATTACCGTCTTGGGTGCTCCTGATTACAATTATAGCATAATGGGCTCCAAAGCCCTATTCTTATTGTTAAGGCCGGTTTGTTATGGTACCTTATAGTACCCCTTATTGTAGCCCTGATACAGACCTCTTTAAAGGAACCCTATTCTACTTATTAAGGCCCCTATTTTAGCTCGTCAGAGCCAGCAAGATTCTTAAACCCTAAACCCTATATCATCGCCTGGATTGTCCGAGTGTGAGCGCCGAAACCCCATGTCATAGTACCCTTATAGTAGCCCTTATGGTTCCTGTTAGGCTTTCGTCCTTCAGAACCAGCAAGATCGTGGCCTCCTTGAGCCCTTAAATTAGAGTAGGATCCCTAATATGATTTAAGGAATATTCCTTAATTCAGGGATATTGGAGTCTCTGCGAAGCCCAGGAGCGTTACCTGCCCACCCTCGTGGAGCGCTTGGAGGCCGTGGCGGATAAGGTTGGCCTGGGCCAGGCCTGGGGCTGAGACTCCGAAACTCGGGGGGCCCTAAATACCAGGACCCTCCTTGTACCCTCAAATAGTGGTATATGGTCCCAAACAAGGGGCATTTAGGGTCTAATAAAGGGTCTAGGTACAGTTATGGTATCATATACCCCCAAGGCTCAGAGTCCGATACTCTAAGGGGCCTGAATGTAGTTATAGTAGAATATACCCCCAAACCCTAGCTTAAGCATTAAGACCCCTATGTTCGTCAGTCAGAAAAAAGCATGCCGCAGGTTCGGTCTGCAATGGCAGTCATGCATGACATCAGTAATAACCCATGACGTATATCACCAGCAATTAGCCACATACATGCGATTATTAGTGACTTAGTCGTAGCAGCAGTGCACACCAGCCCTGGGCCAGGAAGACATTGTCATCCGCATGACCGGCTGCCCGAACTCTTGCGGCAGGCCTTCGATGGCCGAGATCGGCTTCATTGGAAAGGCACCAGGCACCTACAACATGTACCTCGGTGCTGACTTTGTGGGCCAGCGTTTGAACACCCTTTTCGCGGAGTCCGTGAACGAGGACCAGATTATCCAGATCCTGACCCCGATCTTCGGCCGCTTCGCACAGGAGCGACAGAAAGGAGAGAAGTTTGGTGACTTCCTGGTCCGCACGAAGATCGTCAAGCCAATGAACAATGGCCGTGATTGGTGGACCACCCCCGAGGTCTGAAGCTTGAGCCACGAGAATGCTCAGCTAGAAGCTAGAGTTGTATAGCAAAGAGTTCATCGCAATTTTGATGTCTTACACTCTACGGTGGAGAGCATCATGCTCTCCCTAATCCTGCTTTCATGTAGTCCTCTTGCAACTAACTGCCCTCCAAATCTCAGTTGTGGAGGTGAGATGAGGTCTCAGATCTCGTGTCGCTTCCAGGCTAGGCTGTCTTCTAGCCTAATCCTCCGCACAGGGGCGGCTGACCCAGATCCTTGTGACCCACGCACCTGTCAGTCAAGTGTCGTCGTTCGCTGCGCCAGTCGGCGAGGGCAGCTGCCGCCAGTGCACAGTGCTCAAGTGCTCTCGCGCTTGAGAAACGGAGTATACAAACAGCCCAACAGCTGAGCGAACTGGCCACAGCGCCAGGAAGACTGACATCTGAAGAGCACAGCGGCAAGTAATTCTGATAGGCATTTCATCGGTTTGTCCTTCGGGCGCGCTCAGCGGCATAGTGTGATGGTGGTCCGGAGATGTCGTTCAAGCGACTGGACCAGCATGGATTTTCCATGAAACCTCCTGCGGTGCAGCACCACGCCAGGTGAAAAAGCGCTGTTCGAACCTGCTTGCAGCGTGGAGATCTTACAGCTGAGACTTCGCTAGCCGGGCTTGACGTTTCGAATGCCTGGGAGGGAGGGAGGGAGGGAGAGAGAGAGAGAGAGAGAGAGAGAGAGAGAGAGAGAGAGAGAAAGCGAGAGAGAGAGAGAGAGAGAGAGAAAGAGAGAGAAAGAGATAGAAAGACTTCGCCATGTTAGGGACATGGCAGAGAAGCATATAGGCTCTAGTAGAGAACCCTGAATCAAGTCCTGCAAAGGTGGCTTGGCACTTGGATGTGTCGGCCTTATGCAACGACTTGATCCAAGTCGCTCTTGCCTTCATTGCATGGCAGTGATAAGATTCAGTACCCTAGTTCCCTCATATTCGCATAATGTGAAACCTGGCTTGCAATGCTACCTGTGCCCTCTTGTGCTTGGACTGCCCAACCTGTGAGACTCGGGTCCTAGCGACTCTGAACAGTCTGAGCCATACAACTGAAAGGCTGCAAATTAGATGTGCAGTTCTAGCTTTTGGGCGTTGAGAGGTTAGTATAGGGGCCTTGATAATTCAAACGGGGTTTGGGGGCCCATTTTCTTATTAGGGACCCCCCAAAACAGTGCTGGTAATTGTTTAGACCCCTATAGTAGGGCAGGGAGTTCTCGGTTTTGGGGTTTGGAGCAACCTGGAAAGTCGATTCTGGTGCCCAATGCGCAGGACGTTCTCGATGAGACCTTCAAGACAAAGGCCGCTAGTTTGGTCTTAGTCCCTAGGTTCTATCCTGTTTTAACGGGTTCCTTAAAGGGTCCTACCCTTCTTTACCGGGTTCCCTAAAGGATCCTATAAGCTTAGTAGCTGAGTGGATACACATAGCACTTTTTGAGATAATATTGCCCACTATAAAACTGAAGGTGTACACTTTTTGAGGGGCTTATGAACTCAGCAACTAAGTGGTGGATAGACTTTAGGGTTTAAGAGGCTTTGGGGTCCAGGGCTCGGGGTTTAGGGCCAGGATAGAGTTTAAGGTTTGGGGTCCAGGCTTTAGGGTTTACCGTAAAAAGGTTTAGGATCTAGGGTTAGCATGGAGTTTAGGGTTGAAGAGGATTTAGGGTCCAGGGCTTCGGGTTTAGGGATTTAGCGTTTCGACTTTAGGTTGTTTCTTGTGGCGTTTCTTGGGGTCAGGGTATTACCGCGTACGTCAACGACCGCACTATACATCTTTCCGCAGGAAGGGTAGCAGAAGCTGGTGGCAACGGCAATCCCTGAATAAGCGTTTCTGACTTTGCAGGACCGTTGTATAGCGACTAATTGCCTTTGGAAAACTCCAGCATGATTTCACGCGGGAGCCGGCATCATTGGTATTAGCGCTACACTCCGCACCCGGCACATCCCAATCCGTATACAAGTCTGGCAAAACCTGCTCTCACTACACAAAGGGAACTGCTAACCTCAGGGCCCGGCTCAGAGGGACTACGACTACGGTTACGGTCAATGGGATTTAAGGATTTACAGGGTTTATCGGGTTGGGGCTTCGTGTAATTAAACAGTGTATACGAAAGCGTAGATGGAAGATCGGGTTTTGGGACGTTGCGTTGGAGGAATGTCGCATGGAAAGTTGAGTCGAACAAGGCCTTGGGGTACTATCTTATGCTGCGATTGCGCAAGGGCTTCCAAGACGAAGAAGAAGAATTCACGCGAAAGCCGCAAACCCTAAACCCTAATTACTCAGTGCTACGCAGTCCGAAAGTACTCATGCAAGCTCACCCTAACCCTTAAACCCAACAAAAACCCCTAAACCAATCCATCTCAGACGTTTTCACATTGCACATGACCCCAGATGCCACAGCTCCCTGTCCAACGGCAAGTGGTCGGTCACACCCATTTAAGAGAGTGTTACTTAAGCCCTCATAAGCCATAAGCCCTGAAGTATTACTTGCCCCAAAGCCCAAAACCCTAGTGGCCCAGAGGTTAAGGCTTGCTTGAAGACGTCAGGCCCTAAATCCACCAAAAAACCTGCAATTTTCTGATGTTGGAGGTCAAAACCCTAGGGATCTGAGGACTCATAGTTTAAGGCTTTTGGGCCCAAAGACCATACTATTTCAGGCTTTTGGGCTACTTTGATCCCTAGGGCAAGATCCCTCATAGCCCTAAGCCCTAAGCCAGGTGGTTGGACACAGCCACGGCCTGATCACAGAGGGGCAGCAGCACGGGGATGAGCGTGAGCGGGTCTCCTGGGGCAACATTCCCCTCGATCCTCCTCCGCTGATCGCCTGCCAGAATCTTGGGCGGTTTAGGGCTTTAGGGCTTTAGCGTGTAGGGTAGGGGTTCTGGCTTTGGGGTTTAGGGAAGAGGGTTGGGATCACAAAAGCTCCTAACCCACTACAGAGTGGTTCACGGCAGGGCTCAAGGGTTCCAGTTCCAGGTTGGGGGGTAGTTTGACTTGGGCTTACCCAAACCTCAAGGCCTGAGAAAGAATGAGTAACACTGCACCGGTAGTATGATAAGAAGATCATATACCCCGACGAGGCTTTATGCTTGTCCAAGACTCCAATATGCCTAAGTAGGGAATATTCCTTAAATCATGTAGGGGATCCTACTATAATTTAAGGTATATTCCTTAACTGTGGAGTCTCTGGGTTGTATGGTGCCTGTATCAGGGTGGTGTGATTGCTTCACCCTGGAGCTCCATTGAACTGTGCCTGTCCTACTTACTACATAACCCGTAGCCATACTGCATGCCCCTCGGCCGTCTAAGTATACGCCACATCAAACCGTTGATATTGAGGAGCTAAGGAGCCAGGGATGATGATAATCCCCATTAAATAAGGAGCTAAAGAGCCTAATTAGACATCTTCAGAACCCGAAGCCCGGTGGATCCGACAGCTAAGCTGACATCTGAGGAAGGGATGCAAGGGTTTCAAGGACCTGACTCAGCGGGAAGTGTGGATATGGTGGAGCGATTCGGTGTTAGCATGCTCACCATGGTCACCATCGCAATGATCATAGGCGTCGCCGTAACCAGAATCATCATGGCCAGGGCACTTCCTGACCAGGGCCGCTAGTAGTTTGATCCCAGTCCCGGCATTCTGAATTTCCGAAGGCGTCATCACGTGTTAGCCCAACCCACCCCCCACCGCCCACAGCGGGAGCATACCACAAAGGTCTTCGCAAATGCCTAGCTCCGAGCAGAAATTCTGCATCTATGGCACCACCGAGCATCCGAAGATAAGCATAAATAGCATACATCTTGTTTTTTCCGAGGGAGTTCGCTTTACTCTGCCAGTTTGGTGGTTTCAAGTCTTCGATTTCTATGTTCGTGCTCGAATCCATCATCTTCCATGACATGCAAATGTAGCATTTGGCGACCGGACTTTCGGATTTGCGTAATAGACAGGCTCGAATTGTTACCCATAGTCTGTCTGGAGGGTCTTCGTTCTCCGCATTGCCTCCAGACCTTGCCTGGACTGAGCTTAAGGTTCCTGATGATGAGCATACTGCATCATGCTATGTATTTCTGGCCCCTGTGTGACAGCATGTTGTAGAACCCTTAAAGGAGTCCGAGTCTAATTGTTCAGGCGCCTACCTTCGTAGGGTGTTCAGGATTCAGGTTAAGGTTTCTAGGAGGTACTGTATCGGGTTAAGGCGGCTGGAGGCATTCGGTAGGCGCAGCTTGGTTTGTTGACTTAAAGTTAAAGTTGAGGGCCAAGGGGAATGGTTGAGGGCGAAGGTTTAAGGAGTTTCAGCAAAGCCCGCTGTCCTGGCAGGACACCTCGCCCAACCAGGACAATTTCTCAGTCACGCACTTCAAGAGCGGTTACACCTTGATTTGCACGTTTGATGGCCATGGCCCGTTCGGCCGCAGCCTCACTATGCCGTCAGTTCCTAGCATGATGTGCAGGGACCATGTTCACACTGACAAGCGTGCCAGCAGAGGAGGTAATTACCCTGCATCCTAAACTCCAGCCCCCTTAACCTCCCTAGGCCCTAAAAACGAAAGCTTTAAGCCCTGCATAGCCGTGGTCTACATACGCAGCAGCTTTGGGCATCGCTCCGTGAAGAATTTCCTCACACCAGACATTTTTTAGACGTATGCGACTCATACAACAAGACAAGGACTGGAAAGGGAACCTAAGGAATTTCGAGTATTAAGCCCCAAAACCTACACCCTCGAGTTCTTGAAGCCCGAATTCTGCAGTATAAATATAGACACACGCACCCCAAGAGAACTTAAGTCTAAATCATGAGCCCTTCTGACGTAAGCCCTAAACCCCAAAAACTTCAGTGTGAGTGCTGAAACCTAACAACTTCTGAAACCCTGAGGGAGTCCCGAAGCCCAAAGCCCTACGGTATCCGCGTGCCTCCCTTCGACGAAACTGCGTAAGCATCTTAGCCACAACTACTAGTACCCTATGAATTCGGGTCTTTTTTTAGGTTCCTTTTTAGGTTCCAAAATTAGTACGGCACCCTTATTTAAAGAGGAACGTAGCTCTTTTGGGAAGCTACCCATATACCTTATAAGTCATATTCCCTCGTGTTTCGGGTGCATGGTACATTATGTCCTTCAGAGCTTGCAGGGTAAGCCTTGCTATGCTCATCAAGCCCCTTGAGCCTCCAAGCATTTGACCCCAGAGCCGAGACTTCAGCAACTCTGGAGCCTAGATTCATTCACATAGTAGCTGAGTGGATACACTTTACACTTTTTGGGGTAATATTACCCACTATAACACTGAAAGTGTACACTTTTTGGGGCTTATGAACTCAGCAACTAAGTTCATGATCTCTGAAGCTCCGTCATAAGTTGCCCCGGTCGAGAAGACTTGTTTCGAGAAGCTTTTGTTCCCGCAGGAAACTAGAACCCTTTAGAAGCCCTCATTGTCATAGATCCCTAATTGTAGTATCCTTAAGGGAGGGTATATAGCCTAGTGATCCCCCTTGAACCACCCTCCCTTAAGGATCCTTTAACCTAAGGTAGCCCTAAACCCAACAGGGTTGTTTACAGATAAATTCAACTGCTCTTCGAGGTCACATTGTGTCGACTCGTACCGTGCAGACGGTGCCCTGGCCCCTGGGCCGGTCTTGGAATCATGCTGTCTTCTTACACACGCTAAAAAAGAGCAAAATTGTATGAACATATACATTTATGTGTATATAATATGTATATGTATATATAGGAAGAGATAGTATGCATTGCGCAAGGGAGCAATATCGTGCACGCTTGAAAGGTCTCCAAGAACAGCCGAGGTTCATGGTGGTGGAGTCCGGATTTGACAAAGACACAATTGACGAGAGCATCATTGAGAAGGTCCGCAGCCTTTTGCGTTAGGGGCTGCATCCCGACTTCCGACTTGCAGCCGATTTCCACGAATCAAGATCTTCATAACGTGCTGCAGGTTGAGGCAGCTTAAAGCATTGTCTCAGTTTGTTCAAATGCCCATATGTTTTAATGTTTTATAGTCTATCAGCAGCACGAATTCGTGCGTGCCCTTGCTGAGAAAAGTGCTTGAGATTCCGAAGCCATCATGAAGCCAAACCTGACACTTCGAGAAGCATGACAGTTTAGGGGGCTTTGGGTAGCCAGCCCATTGGCCAGGCTTTGATCAATGCCTTTGAGAAGGCCACGCCCGACGTCTTTCCGACGTTGTCGGTTGTTGGGCGTTTCAGAAGACCAGGGTGCATCCTTAAAAGAAGCAGCCTACTACTTGGGAGGTTAAGATACGACCCCTCTTTCTCTGGAATTCCCTTCTGGTGTTGGCGGTGTTTTTCCCTACCTGGACCCCCAAAGTATGTAGAATAATAGCCTTTTATGGGTATTGGGCCATTATTTTACCTACTTTTTCGGGGGTTTAGGTAAGTCCATGGCCACTAAAAAATGGGACCCCAAGCTCTGATCTTCCCCTCTTTTGAGGGTCACGGGCTCTGTGTTCAAAGTCCGAAGATGTGACGAAACTGTTTCTGCCGACGCAGATCTAGATATGTATCTGTTATATGCATACATATATATATATATACACATATGTGCACACATACACACACACACACACACACAAAGACATATATATATATATATATATACATATCATCGGCTCTTCTAGAGGCATGCGGTTCATGGCCTTTGGGCATGGATTTCGGCTCTTCTTTGCTGGTTCCGACGTGGCCCAGAGACCGTGACATATGCGCACATCATACTTGCCCATGCATGCCGGAAGGGATGCGGAGACAACTCGGAATCGACATGTGAGCAAGCACCCATAGCTCAATCCCTGAGCTCCGACCTCAGAAGGTGAGAGAATCTGAATCTTGCAACGCTTTGTTTATCGCGGACCTTCTTTTCGCTGTGATGCTTGCTTTACAATCCAGTGCCTCGCCTCAACGTGGCTCTTTGCAAGTGGCAGGCTCAGAAGGACGTTGTCGCACACTCGCTCGAGAACGATTGGGACGTTCAAGCCAGTGGAAGTACTGCAGCAGGTGTGAACTTGGGTAGTTAGGCCGAACTCCCTAAACCCTAAACCCAAACTGCAGCAGGTCTGAACTTGGGTAGTTAGGCCGTACTCTCGTGCATACGTCGGCATGGTGGCAGGTCCTGAAGTGTCGGAATGGAAGTAGTAGTAGTAGTAGTAGTAGTAGTAGTAGTAGCAGTAGTTGTAGTAGTAGTAGTAGTCGTCGTCGTCGTCGTAGTAGTCGTAGTAGTCGTAGTAGTCGTAGTAGCAGTAGCAGTAGCAGTAGTAGCAGTAGCAGTAGCAGTTGCAGTTGCAGTTGCAGTAGCAGTAGTAGTAGTAGTAGTAGTCGTCGTCGTCGTCGTCGTAGTCGTAGTAGTAGTCGTCGTAGTAGTAGTAGCAGTAGTAGTAGTAGTAGTCGTCGTAGTAGTAGTAGTAGTAGTCGTCGTCGTCGTAGTAGTCGTAGTAGTCGTAGTAGTCGTAGTAGCAGTAGCAGTAGCAGTAGTAGCAGTAGCAGTAGCAGTAGCAGTTGCAGTTGCAGTAGCAGTAGTAGTAGTAGTAGTAGTAGTCGTCGTCGTCGTCGTCGTAGTCGTAGTAGTAGTCGTCGTAGTAGTAGTAGCAGTAGTAGTAGTAGTAGTCGTCGTAGTAGTAGTAGTAGTCGTCGTCGTCGTAGTAGTCGTAGTAGTCGTAGTAGTCGTAGTAGCAGTAGCAGTAGCAGTAGTAGCAGTAGCAGTAGCAGTAGCAGTTGCAGTTGCAGTAGCAGTAGTAGTAGTAGTCGTCGTCGTCGTCGTCGTAGTCGTAGTAGTAGTCGTCGTAGTAGTAGTCGTAGTCGTAGTAGTAGTAGTAGTAGTAGTCGTCGTCGTCGTCGTCGTAGTAGTAGTAGTAGTAGTTATAATTGTACCCCATTCCTCCATTCCCTACTAACCAAAGGTAAGTGTAGAGCCTTGAAGGGCACTGACAGGGTTCCTTTCTGATCTTTCAAGCTTAGGGCGATAACCGCAAGGACGGAAAGATCGCAGTATCAATGACCGCTCTTGAAGCAACGCGAAGAATCGAAACAAGCTCAGAACAACAATAACAGGTAGGCATTCAGTAGATTAGTGTGCTGTTGCTAATGCCCTCAACCATAAAAAATGTTGAGCCCGAGCTTTGAACGCCCTAGCCCAACCAAAAGCACCTCAGACCCTAAACCTGCAACCCATAAAACAATCAAACACTCTGACCCACCTCCTAACCTGAGCGATGGGGTTTTCCCAGAAGGAACACCAAAGCTTAGAGTTTAGGGTAGGGTTGATGATTATCCAGGCGGGCATATACAAGTCTGTGCAGATTGGTGGGGCTGATGGTTTGTAACTTCTGAACCCCAAACTGGTTGGTAGTTATCAAGATTTTGGTCCCTTGTTGGGTACCTTAAATATGAGGTGCAGAATTATAGTAAGGACCCCAAGGGGACCACCCTGGCCCTCAAGACCTATCACCCTGAATCCCCTATAATCACACCACAGCCCTTTAACCCCACACTCCATCCCCGCTTCCAAGGCGGTTGCAGCTCTTTTCAAGGGAAACAAAGTGTGGACCGCCAACGCCGGTGACTCTCGCTGCGCCATCGGTACCGAAGCTGCCATCTGTCCGCAAGAAGTCATGGGCTCTACCGTAAGGTTTAGGGGTTCCGTAGCAAGAGTTCGTTGAGCCACGCAGCCGCTTAATGGTGTCGAACCGAAACGTCATTGCGGCATTTCGATCATAATGCCACGGCAGATAGGAGCTGAATGATCCTGCCGGTTTTCCGGTGAGTCCGGAGGTAAACCCAAGTCGAGCCCGGTTCAGAGTTTAGAGCCCTGCATGCGGACGATTTGGAAAAGGAATATGCTCTCACCTGTGCCCCTGGATCATGGAGGTTGGAATTCAGGAATCCCTTTTCGCGGTGCTGGGGCTTGGGGGGCATCCTTGCAGCAAAGCTTTGCTTAATTAATTAGAGTCCATGTTGGGCCCCTTCTTTTCTGACAGGCTCTCTTGAGAAGGTGATTGATGCTTGGATCGCTAGCACTCCAACTCGCGGGCCCAAAAGCTACAACCCTAAGCCGTGCCTGCGTTGAGGACAAGAAGGTGGTCTTTGAGACGGAGGACCACAAGCCCCAGAGCGACAAGGACCGGCCAACCCAAAATCCTCAGCCCCAAGGCTTGCGTCGGGGGTGGGCATTAATAGTTACCTATATAATTTTGTTGATTCCTTATTATAATTATAGTTATAGTATAATGGTAGCCCAAAGCCCTGAAATCGGCTGAGGGATGAGAGCACTAAGGACTGAAGGATAAAACTGTGGCGTCTATTTGAGTCTAAGGGTCTAGAAGCTGTGTCCTGCTGTTAGGCCTTCCCAAAGCTTTGATTTGATTTAAGAGGCGGCTCTCCCGATAAATCTCAGCCCCTACACCCCGAAACACTCCTACCCAAGAGCCGCTAGCCCCTGAATGGCATTGCGCCCGTGTACTGCAGTAGCACGACGGGAAGAAAGAAGCCTTCTAACAACCCGTGAACAGCCCGGCACCCTAAAGACTCGCCCTATCGGCGCTTCAGGGTTAGGATTTTTCAGGTTTAGGCCGCAAATCAACAAATTGCACAAGTCCTGATGCATAGCAGGCCACAGTTCAAAGCACCCATGTGCGAAGGAGAAGGCCCGCATCGAGGCCTCCGGTGGCGAGGTGCGCTCTCAGACGTATCCAGCCACTTGGCTCGGGATGATGTGGTAGGGCTTGGTGTTTAGGGTTGGGATGAAGGCTTGGGTCGGAATGATTTGCTAGGGTTAGGGTATCTGGTTGGGATTAAGGCTTCGGTCGGAATGATCTGCTAGGGTTTAGGGTTCAGGGTTGGGATTGGAATATCCGCACATGTCCCCCAGGTGTGGCCCCAGGCTGATTGGGTAGAGCTCCGGGTTCAAACGAAGGTCGTAGGGACCCTTAGGGGGGAGGGGGTAGGGGACTATACTTCCGTAGCCTTAATAGGCCTTATTAAGTCCTTATGATGGGCATTACGGCCCGCTACCCCCCTCCCCCTACCCCCCTAAAGGGTCCTTATGAAAAGGGTTGGGTTTGGGGCTTAGGTCGGGATGATCCGCTTTGGTTTAAGGTTTTGAGTTGGTAGGCTCCGAGCAATCAGGGGCAACATCGACCCCAACTAGTGAGACCAAGGACACGCACTATAGGATCCTTACTTTTCAGAATCCGCTATCTGCCACATCGATGTCATCATTGATACCGGGCTCAGCATTTCCGGGCTTAGTTATCGTGACCATCGAGAGCGAGGCCCAGTAGGACAGGCCTTTCGGATCCTGACCACACAAGCGGGTGACCGAAACTAGAAGACACATTGTAGAGGCATGAAGAATCAGGTGGGGTTTACCTTAACCATGGAACTCCGCGGCACGTCGGAATCGACTTCGATCTTCAATATGCATAAGGTTAGTACCCTGATTTGGAGAGTACACTTGGTACAGAAGTATCTTTTGACGGGGCTACTGCAGCTATACCGCAATGTCTGACTCTACTTACATGTCCCATTTACACAGGGGAGTTTAACAGTCCTCCTAGACTACTATATAAACGCTCACACCAAGACTACTAAACCCCGAACTACAAGCCCTCAAGCTTCAAAATCCGCGCAAGTGTTGAATAATGATGGGTTTAGGGTGTTGCGGTTAGGGTCTGGGGGCACTGGATTTGGAAGGCGAAGGGTTTTGGGCTAAGGGATTTGGAGAACGGTGTTTAGGGTTTATGGGTTTAGGGTTTAGGGTTCCTTTGGCTTCCCTAATGTAACTGGAGTCTCCCCCGGAACCCTCGTCCAGTTATTCAGGCTTCTGAGGAGTTAGGTCCGAAAACGGCAGCCCTTGATGGTTGCTTGAAACCACGGGAAGGTCAGTCTCTTTAGCGGAGGGGTGTTCTACCAGACTGTCCTTTCCATCCATGTCCGTAGTAAAGAGATTTGAACCACGAATCCTAACAAAACCCATTAGTTATTCAGTATGATACACTCTATTATGCCCGAAAGCCCGACCGTATTCGTAGGTTCTGGTATAGATACGAATTCGCAGTTCAGTTGGCCGTAGCCGAGGATGGATGGGTGAACCACCGCATCTTCATCAAGGGCAAGGCCTTTGCCTCTGATTTGCTACTATTTGCTTAAGAAACACCCAAAAAATAAACATAATAATCCCTATATTACCCCCATAAGGAATATATTTTTTATTTTTGAGGGGGTTCTTAAGCAAATAGTAGTTTGGGTTTCGGCCATTAGGTTGGGTTCAAGGCTCCCTTTTCGGCTGTTTTAGGGTCTTGGAGGTGTCCTTATCTTCCTGGCAAACGGATTTGCAGTAGGGTCCCGTATCCTCTGGTGTCCCTGAGGCCAGATTCAGATGAGCTTGAAGCGCATAGAGGCAGATGGGTTCAAGACTACATGGCTTTAGATTCTGAGCCTTTTGGGCATGTTGTAATAAAGAGCCCCATAGATGCCCAAAGGAACAACTAGAATCCAGCGGCAGCAACAACAACGAAAACAACAGCAAGCAGGACTGTCTATAGCAACACTGGCAGTACAAATGCGGGCACGACGCTCCTCAGGACTACCCGGGCTTGTGCATGGCCCGCACGCTCGGGGACCAGTCGGTGAAGGACTACGGTGTCATCGCAACTCCCGAGGTAGGGCTTTCCTGTGAATGGAAGTCCCTCATTCAATCTAGGGGCCTAAATAATTGCCAACATTATTCTAAGGGCTCCTGTTATATTGTACTACCCAGGCGCAGGAGAAAGCCGTATTCGAGTTATTATGGCCCCCTCATTCAGCGGGTTGATAATGCTTTACGAGAGTTTCGGAGAGTGTGCTGAGACTTGAGATGTTATTACTGGGTTCTTGTTAAGGGGTTTGCTTTCACTGACCATAACAAGGCAAGCATCATATCCACGATAGATCCCTATATGATGATGACTTCAGTGGAAGACCCGGTGTACTAGATACTACACCTAGAGTAAATCTCGCCTGGAGTAGACACACTTTATTTAAACTGCACAGCCGACGTAAACTCCTCCTTCCCTGAAGTGTTGCGCCGCGATTTGTCTCGCGAGCTTTTGCCAAAGAACTATGAAACAACAAGCCGTACCTAGCAAGAACGATCAGAACACAAGGGCCCGAATACAAGTATCGGGTAGCAGGATCCTTACTGTCACCCCCATATCTCTTAGCAAGGACTCCAAATTTCAAGAATCCCTATGTGGGAGTTTCCGAAAATAGGGGACCCTACTATGGAGCCTCCGGGTATCACAAGTTCACGGTTGCAGCCTCGGCTGTGGTTTCAGAGTTCGAAGTTCGAACCTAGAGTCTGGGAGTTCGATTTCATGGTCCTGCGAGAAACCACATGGGAGTTTCCGGGGGTTCATGTGTAGAACCCTATGAGGTAACCCCAAAATACTATGAACCCGATGGGTAGTCCTATAGAAACCTGAGTTGAAGAGCGGCATAAACTTTAGAGCCCAAGCCTGGTGGACAGCAAGCTTACTATAGGGGCCTAAAGAATTGCCCATACTATTTTTGGGGGGCTGCTGCGTATAGATGATTATAGTATCATATACCCCAAAACCCTATTCTAACTATTCAGACCCCTGTATTCGTCGCTTTTTGCTTCTTGCAGGTTCTGCTTACGACCGTGGACCTCTCGAAGAAGGCCACAGACATTGCAGGGTCCTTAATGGGGACCCCTACCCTATAATGGGCTATATAATGGGCATACAATAGCTATATTAAGGGTATATACCTAGGGGTCCTTATTAAGCCTCGGTTCTGGGCTGTGGGGATGCAATGCAAGGCTTTGGGCGCTTGTTGTTTGGGAGTTTCCGAAAAGTAGGGGTACCTTATTTTGGGGTCCTTATAATAAAGATCCTACTATTTAGGGTATCATATTAGGGTCCCCTATTTTCGGAAACTCCCATTTGCTTCTTGGTGGTCTTAAAGGGGATCGGTTTACCTTGCGTGCCTTGGCTTCCACTCGTCTTCTATCGTCGCCGAGCGGGTAGTGATGATGGTGGTTGCGGTGGTGTCGGCATCTGTTGATTCGTGTCGTTTCTTGACACCTACCGTCTTGCTAATTCAATGGTGACACGACCAAAAGCCTTGTGACTGTAACATCACAAACAGAGGCTAGAGTGCTGACAACTAGGATTGTGATGATTCATGCCTTCTCTCAGAGCAGGGGAACTCAGCAACTAGGCGCTCAAGAAATATATAGAGATGCTCGATTAGAGCCCAAGCTCCTTTCTGACAAGAACCTGTGCAGGCGTTTTTCATCATCGCCAGCGACGGTCGGGCCCTCAACGAATTTGCTGCGGGCATGTTGATGGGGTGCTTGCACGCGTTTGCGGAGCTGTTGTGGCTGCAACACGAGTAAAGACTGGCATAGAACGACAACCCCGAACCCCCAAATCATTCGAACGAGGGGGTCCACAGTTTCGCCGCCCAGACGCCCTGAATCTTGACCACCTCCGCACGAATGCTGCACATTACCCCAAACCTTGCCTTCGCCTTAGTAACTGAGCAGGTAACCGACCTTTAAACTTGTTGATAGAATTCGTTGAAGTTTGGGCAGGGAGCTCATCAAGTAGTCCTTCGGCACATCCGAGAGAAGCAGAACCCAGAAAAGTCACGTTTGTTGAGGTGTATATATGGAACTAGCCTAAACATAGTCGAGTTAAAGATCTCTCTACAGTCTTTTTTGAAGCATATACCTTTGTTGAGGGCGTTGGGGTTCCCTGGATTGAAGCTCGAATGTCTCAGTTACTGCTAGAAACCCAACACACTGTCAGCCGGTACTTCAATCCCTTACAGATCCCAAGCCCTGAAACCCTAAACCCGAAGGGACTCAATGCTGCAAAGAGAAGATTACATGCTTCCCTGAAGCCGGAAAGCCTAAACCCCAGACGGCTTGAATCCTTGCCTGCTTCGTGCGAGCGTGCGAGTCGAAAGCCCAGACGCCTCAGCACAACCCCAAAGATTTAGACCCTTAAAGAGAATCCTACACAGAATCTATACGACAATGCCCTTGAGGCTTTTAATCTTAGGCCCTAAAACCATGTTAGCCCAGGTGTGTGGGAGTTCTTGGATTCACAGTTCGTCGTCAAGGCCGTTGCCAAGAAGATCCAATCGGCCCCCCAGCTGGGGTGAGTCAAGCTTTATCTATGCCTATGCCTTTCACGTTGGTGTCACCGGATTTTTGTTGGGGGAGTGGTGAATCTTTCAGTAGATAACGTCGCTTCTATGGCAGGCATTTGCAAGATGAAGGTTGTGACAATAAAACGATTGAATGCCCTATACCGAGTCCAAGAACCCAGAGTGCAAGTTAGCAGCTAGCTTCAAGCAACAGCCGAATGCCACACACGACCCTTCAAGCCCCGACACCTCCCGAAAACCTGAAGACCCCTAACAATCCTGGGCCGCAAAACAGGTAAGCATTCTTAGACCTTAGTGAGCCTGAGAAAGATGGTCGCCCCCACCTTATTGAAGAAGTTGAGAGACACGCAAACCTACACCCCTAAACCCTAAACGTCCTTCGCTGGCATGTCCGAGTTGTGAGAGCGTAAACCCGGCCAACCCTAGCCGACCCTAGAGAAGAAGTTGAGAGACACGCAAACCTAAACCCCTAAACCCTAAACCGTCCCAAGGACGGACCTGCAAAGACGCTCGAGAAGCTGCAGCGCGAGGCCAAGAAGCGCTGGAAGGCCGAAGAGGGCTCCTGGGCGGCAGCTTACGCATTGGGGGGCTTTTGAGTTAAGGGGGTTGGGGCTGAAGGGTTTGGGGGTTAGGGTTCAGGGGTTAGAGGCCTGGATGCAAAAAAATGCTGTTAGGGCTTTAGATTTATAGTAGGGGTTATTCATCAAGTCCAGGTGTGAAAGGGAGAAAGGGTGTAGGGCTGGGTTTAAGATGACTGCAGGTCGTGGTCTGGCTAGCGGCTACCACTATGGGCTATTAGACCTTATGGGTACCTTAATCTACCCTTAATAGGGTCCTAATAGGGATCTTTAGGGTCTAGTAGCCCATAGTGGTAGACGTGCGTGAAAAGGGTGTTGTTTTGAAGCTTACTGAGGGTGTGTAGCGCTGTTTTGAGGTGTTTGGTTTTTACAGGGTTTAACAACAGAGTTTGGAGTTTTGGGGTTGGGACGCGTTTTAGTTGTGGGTGGGTGAGGGTTAGGGCACAGGGTTGCTTTCCAGTTGGGTGTCTTTTTGTCAGGGTTCTTTAGGAAACACTTCGGTTCTTTGGCCATTAGAGGCGCTTGCAAAGGCGCGGGCTTAAAGTTGCTGTTTAAGGGCTTGGGTAGGGATCTTTAAGAGGGAACAGTGGCATTATGACACATTAAATACCGTTCACATCTGTTTATTACAACGCTTATTATTGTCTTCATTGTTAGTTTATGTTAATGGCCTTGGGTGTTTCAATGAAGCAAGGTTTAAGATTGTGGACAAGCGGGGCTTGGGCTAATGACGGTGTAAGAGAACCAGTATGTAGAAATTGGTTGCTTGGTTTTGTTGCCGTTATTGGGAATAGGGCTACAAGTTCAAGGCTAATGGGTATTGGGGGTTTTTGATTGGTTCTCCGGTGAGTAGCGTGCAAGGTGATTACAGTGGATCGCAGGGTAGCGCCGACGACGGGGGTACGGGACCTAAAAAGTAGGTTGGAGGCAGGGTTACGAGTTCCTTAGTTTACTACTTCGTTACCCCACTTTTGGCTTTGCTTCCGAGGAGCCCGGACAAACGCACCTCAGTTTAGTGTTTCACATAGGGGTTGGAGTGAAGGGTGGGGTTCACCTGTCCCCAAAGCCATAAGGTAGGTTCCTGTTTAGGCTTCGGGGTTTGGCGTGCGTGTTTCCAACGCTCTCTCGTTTACAGAGATTACTCAGCACACCCCTCGGATTCCTCATTCGAAGTATAGTAGCCATTTCTTTCAAAGCTATAATTCGGACTCCCAGTCCCATGACATTACATGGGAGTTTCCTGAAATTCGGGGTATCTTACTTTGGGGGTCCTTATAATAAGGATCCTACTATTTAGGGTACTATCTTAGGGTCCCCTATTTTCGGAAACTCCCATGTAAGTCCTGGTCCGGCTTTAGCCCGCGTGGGGGATGCTAGCCACACACAGACGGCAGCCAAGGTGACTACTGCGTGGGAGCCCCACAGTCTCCGCAGTTTCGTGCTCTCTTCCTGGGGCGGCGGTATTTTTGGAGGGCCTTTAGGGTTCGGGGTTTACTAGGACCCCCCAAGGGCTGTGTAATAGAGTGCTTCTGGCCCTCAATCGTGGGTACTTGGGGGATATTGGAGGCTACTTGGGGGGTCTAGGTATAGGGCTTAGGATGGGGGTTTATTCCTGGTCGGGCGAGCGCCAATCAAGCCTGTGTCAAAGGGTCCAGTTTGTCCGGACTCTGGGGCGGTCTACATTTGGTCTACGGGTTCCCTTGTGGAAGAAGAGTTTTGACTTGCTACCTTAAACCCTGAAGATCCCTAAACCCTTTTACAGCCCTGCAAGCACCCGGAAGCCCGGAATTCCATGCTTAAGCTGTTTGAGGATTTAGAGTTTAGGGTTCTCAGCTCCAGGCATAGACCAAGAACCCTAAACCTTAAACCCTAAACCCTAACTGATTCAAGAAGGGTCTAGCTTGGGATTTAGGCCACGGGGTGAACCGTTGAGGCCCAGGAGGCGCTAACATGGCTTGTTAAATGCGATTTGGGAGTTTCCAAAATGGGGGACCCTAAAACAGTACCCTATATAGTAGGATCCTTAGTATAAGGACACCAAAATAAGGTACCCCTAATTTTCGGAAACTCCCATTTTGGCTTTAGGAAGTGAGGGTCGGGAGGATGACAAGGATGGGCGACCGAACCTGTTCCCCATGCCATTGTAGGTAACTCAGATTGCCTAGCTTTCCCCTCCTACGCGAAAGCAAGGTGTTGCTTGGGGTTTGCTTTGCTTCTTTGTCGCAACATACTGCGACAAGGCTATTTCGAATGTTAGTTTGAGTTTGATTATGGATCGAGGCGGCTTATAGCCAAACTCGTGGGGCCTTCGGCTTAAGGCTGAGCTTCACTGTCAGCATGTTCTGCCTTCGACAGCATTCTGGCCAAGGAGGCATATACGCAGAATCGCCGTAGTCGACAAACTGTCGCACAAGAAATCTCCAAGACTCTCGGAAGACCATCGAACGGATCAGCTTCTATGTTCGCACGCAACTCTTTGTACCATAGCAACTAATGGTTGTCCGTAGCTAGCTGCTAGCTTTGAGCCCGATCTTCAAGCTCTCTTCTTATTCTTACTCCGTCGTAAACCCCAGACCGCCTGGACCCCTAGCTTTCGTAGGCATCTCCTGGTGGGTAGCTTCCCCCGCCTGCGATTGTGCGAGTGTGCGAGTCGAAACCCCAAACCCCTAAACCCCTAAACCCTAAACCCCTAAACCCCAAACCCCTAAACCGTAAACCCCTAAACCCCAAACCCCCAAACCCCTAAACCCCTAAACCGGCCGAGGACGACATCACCTCCGTTCTGGTACAACTCCGCTGAGCCCGCTGGGTCGATTAGTTTCTGCGTACATCTCTAAGGGGATCTCTCGTCCTTCGACTGTTTGTCGCAACTGCCCTGAGCCTTGGGCTCGAGACATTTCGCCAGAGTTCGTATACCCTAAACCTCATCTTCGATCGCAAGTATCAGTCAGCTTTGCATAGATTCGAAGGTCGGGTGGCACTTCTAGGCACCGCTCTGGGCCTCTCTCCATATGAGAAGGTAGGAGCCACGCTGCTGGAGCGGCATACGGCCGAACTATTTCTGTTTCTGGGGCCTTCTGGATCCTGGATCCTCGATTCTACTGCTCGTCCCGGGTTTGAGGGTTTTTTACGGCATGGATTTCTCAGGTGCGGCTATGACCGGATGGTCCACCCAGAACTCGGGAAGGCTGCTTCAGCAGTGGGTTTTGCCCTAGGAATTTGAATCGGCTCAGCCCAAAGCTGGCACAGACCTCAATCTGTATGACTCTGCAACAAGGGCAACCTTTGTCCAACTTCTGTGCACCGACCGACCAGAGGCCCAGGAGAACCCAAAGAATGGATCCCCATCCAGGAAGGGGCTCGAATCTGGGCATGAAGCCTTAGATAGCGAACGGGGGCTCATGCGCATGAGTTGCTATACAGTGCAAGTAGGCCTTACTTGCATCTGACTCCCGTACGCCCTGAGGCATGAAACCTTGTTTGGTCGCCATTCACCAAATGCCGGCGAGTATACACTTAGACACTTAGGATTTGAAGGCATACAACTTCCCTAAGCCCGCAAAGGCAGCTAGCCTCCAAGCCTTGTTTGTGCGGCACACCTTGTCTGATGGTAAAGGGCAGCGGAGATATGTTTTCTGCACCGCCTCAACCACAGTTCAGTTTCACAGTAAGAAGCAGTCAACCTCAAAAAGTTGAAAGCCCAACCCTACATCAAAAAGCCCTCACCCCGAAAACCCAGCTCGAACAATAATAATCATGATACTCATAATTCAATAGTAATAATAATAATAACAATGTGCACACCTGGTTCCCTGCCAGGGGATTTGTTTGGGTTTCCGCTGGGCAGTTGTCGACCTCGGACACATCGGACCGTCGCGTCCGAGATCGGCTGCTTCGAGGGGTGCAAAGCGGTATAGGGTTTAGGGCTAAGGGCACTAAGGAAGCTGAGTTAGCAGGTTAAGGAAGCTGAGCTCTAGGCGGGATCAGAGAAGGATAAGTCCAGGTGTTCTAGAAGGGATACTGGAACCAGTTATAACGTGAGGTCAAGTCGTAAAAGGAAGCTGCTTCAACGCAAGATCGGTGAGGATTAGAAGGGTTCAGGCGGGAAGTTCTGTAACCTTCAACTTTTTCTATAGATGCACATTGTGGACATAGTGTGGTTTTCGAAACTGCAAGTTCAGGGGACCCTTATAAGGAGCCCCTGAGCAGGCTACAAAGAGATCCTGCGACATGATATAGGGGTCTTAAATAATTACCTATGTTGTTTTTTTTTAAGGGGGGGTCCTTAATATAATTATCGTATAATGGGCCCACAACCCTATTCTAATTGTGAAGGCCCGTATATTAGCTGTTTCGGGTCTGGGGTTTAGGATTTGTTTCCGGCTCTCCCTTAGTTAGATTAAGAAGACAAGGGTAACCACAACGATGAAATTCAAGCGAGCTTGAACTCAGTACAACTCGGCTTCGTCACGATAGCCTCCTTAGGAATTCTGTTTATTTGTGTTCATACAAAACCCTAGAGAATTGTTAAAAACACTATTATTATTATTATTATTACTATTATGGGTCTAAATGGGGGTATAGGACAAACGTGGCGTGTAGAGCTCGGAGAGCTTCTTAGTCCTGGTGTTTCTACTGGCATGAGTACCACTATCCTAGGTAGGCCTTTGGGACATTTTATATTTTCCCTTATTGGGCTTAATAGGACCCTATTTACGAATATTTTTCAGAGGCTTTCAGGGGCCAACCTAGTATCAATATCATTTGGATTTGCCTACATGTATAGCAGTCGTGTAGTGAGCCAGTCAACAGACCCTGCGTTGTAGGTTCGTCCTAGCCAGGCGGGACGCAAAAATGTCATTTGTATTCCTATCCAGGACCCTCCTTGTACCCCCCTGTATATGGTCCCAAATAAGGGGCATTTAGGGTCTAACAGAGGGTAGATGGAGGGTCTAGGATAGCAGTACTGTAGCCTTAAGGAGGCTTCAGGGTGTGGCGTCAGCTTCTGCACCCAGCGCATCGACCTGCAAGCTGCTTTGAGCAGACTCTCAGGCTAATGCAAACCAGGCGGCGGCAGCGAACGCACAGCCGCGCGCATGGAGGTATGCGTACGCTATCACTTGCTGGCCTGAATGTTTCACCCGAACAGCGACACTTGCAAGAAAACCGCGACAAAAGAAGCAGCCTACCTTACTGCTCAATGCAATATCCATCGGTCACAACTTCAGAACCTCGATACCAGTGATCAGTACCGTAGAACTGCCCCTGGAAGTCAAGTGCCCGGATGCTGCATGCAGCCTGCGCAGAAATCCGAAATTCTGCACTTGGTGTCCCGATGTCTTAAAGCGCGGGTCGGACTTGTAAAGTATACTACTTGCAGGTTCTTAGCACAGGCTGAGGACTGCCTCCGCCTAGACCGCTAAAGATTTGCCTGGCAGCGTCTCGATGGAGTTGTCGAGATTAAACAGCAGTGCCACGCTGAACTGCGGTCTGCATCCACCTTTGATATGGGAGTTTCCGAAAACAAGGGGTGCTTCTTTTTGGGGGTCCGTATAATAAGGATCCTACCATTTCGGGTACTACATCAGGGTCCCCTACTTTCGGAAACTCCCATATCGTTTCGTTGCTCGAGACAGACAGATGAACATGTACATAGGTACTTAGTGCTCTGGCTGGAAAGGTCCCATGACGGAGTTTAAAGCCAGCCACCAAACCCTAATGTAGATTATAGCATTCTAGGCTGACCTTTCTTACTTATCCCAAAAAGAGCACTAAGTGTAGCAGCGCCTCGGCCGTCAGTAGCTGCTGCGCCACATGGCTCCGTATAGCGGCGCTGCTCCCTGCCAATCCTGCCGCTGGATTCTGCTTCCGCTCCTTCTACGATGCACACTTTCACAGACGGACATGGACGACTTCCTTTTCCACCCAGGACCGAGCCAAGCCAGACGAAGAAAAACACCGAGCCAAGCCAGATGATGAAAAAAACCCTCCGCCTCCCACATGCACGATAGACAAAGGAAGTCCAAAACGTCAAACTTAAGCTACCACCTTTCAAACCTTAAAAACCCAGCCCAAACGGCCCTAACTCCTCAAAGTCTTAAACCCCGGAACCCCCCAAGCCTAAAGCCAGGGAAGCCGGTGGCCATAACCCTAAACCCAGAGGACCCGAAGCCATGCCTGCCTGCTTGCGAGCGCGTGAGTCCAAACCCTAGACGCTAAACCCTACGGGAAGCCGGAGGTCATAAGCCTAACCCCTCAACCCTAAACCCCAAAGCCAAAAACCCTAAAGAAAAAAGCCCTGAGGGAAGCCGGTGGTCATCAATCTCGGGCCGCTGATGGAATCGGACCTGGGTCAGGCCTTGCACGAGATGCTCGCAGGACCTGGGCCCAGGACCGAGCTGCGAAGCTTTGGGGATTTCGGGACTTCTTGGAGGATTTCGGGGTTAAGGGTTTCATTGATCTTAGGACTTCTTGTGGAGTTTAAGACTTCTTGGGGAATTTTAGGGACTTTAGGCGGTTCAGCTTTTAGGTCTAGTTTAAGTTTAGGTGTATTTCCACGGTATTTACACTCGCGCTGTAGGATTTTTATCGGGAAATTATAGGCTAGGATGCCCAGTAGTACCCTTATTCCCTTTTTGTAGTCCTAGGTTCCTTATAAAGTTACCCAAACCCAAAAAGAGAGGCCTTTTTATTCTTAGGTTACTGGGTACCCTAGTAGGGCTTCAGAAGAGTGTAAGGCCTCGAGGATGCTTTGAGCGTTTAAAAGGGCCGGGTGCCCATGAAGCACAGTAGGTTTCATACGGTGTATGATATAGATCCTGCATTACCTTAAGGACCCGAAACTGTGGGAATTATGGTATATTCCTTTTTATGGGTAATGCAGGATTTATATCATCAACCGTAGTACCGTACTGTTTGGGTGAAACTCTATACATAGCTCCGACATAGCTCCGCTTGAACATCGGTGAGCGCATACTTGGGGCTTAACTGTATGGATACTAGTAGCAGCAACCCTGTATCACATAGTCTACTTTGGCCTGCAAGGGGAGCCTTGGGTGGTGGCACATCTTCAGATGCCACCATGGCCATCCTATACTTCTGAAACACCAGCAGACCCCTTCGAGCCCGAGGCCCAAGAACACTATAATTTGGATACTGCCCCCACTCAGTAACAGTCTATAATGGAGCCCTATTGTAGACTGTTACTGTATGGCTTAGATCCCCAATACCGAACCTTTAAACTTTTGGGGTTCTTATAGTTTAGTAGGAATGAAAAGTTTAAGTGTTCATTTGTGGGGCTTATTGGGGTTGTAAGATGGGGGCAGTATCCAAACCATAATGTTGATAATGTTCAAAGCCCTAGGCCAACAAAGCTCCGAAGCCCTCGCTGCTAAAGCCCGGCAACCCCCGACGGGTGGTTGTTAGGGGATTCAGTTTAAGTTACCATAATAAGGACTTCATATGACTTACTATTTCAATTAAGTTACCATAATAAGGAAATCATATGGCATACTATAGATTCCTGTTATGGTAACTTAAAGTACGCTCCTCAGCAAGAACCCAGAAGACCAGGACGGGTTCCAGCCACCAGCTGCTGGCCCAAGGGCCTTCTGTGGAGGGGCCCCTGGAATTCGAGCAGCCGGACCTCTTTCGGGGCTTGCTGCCTCTGGGGCTGCTTTTCATGGGGCTTTCCATGAAAGAAAAAGGCTTCTGGTGTTGAGGTGCTTCTGTTATGAATCCTAGCCTAGCCTGTCCCTAATATGGGTTTGAGGTTTCTTGACTTTCGATCGAATTGAAGGCTTCGAAGAGTTTCTTCTGGGCACGTAACCAAGGCAAGAGCAGAAGGACGTGGACTTGTCGTTTGAAAGGCTAGGACCGCCCTGAAGCCCAGTACCCTAAACCATTATGTCCGAGTGTGCGTGCCGAAACCATTAAAGCCTCAACCGCTACACCCCTAAGCCCTAAATCCTGAAGCCTAAACCCCAAACCAGCCACAACTCATAAGTCCTAAACCACAACCCCAAGCCTAGGAAAGGCTTCGGATCCCACTTGGTACCTGCGATGCAGTCGGGCAGCGGCGGCTTCCAAACGAGCCAGGGGGGCCCAGAAAAATCATCCTTTGAATCCTTTGTTTTAGGTAGGGTTTAGGGTTTCAGGGTTTTAGGGTTTCACGGTTTAGGATCAACATGTCGGGATTGGGTATGAGGATTTTGTACAAGGGTCAGTAGGGCTTTAGAAGCTCCTTGATAAAAGAGTCTTCGTTAGATGTTGTGACCCCTATCACGCATATGGGCATCCTAGTCTTACCCAGCTCATTCACTTCATTGGTAGGTTCTGCGGAACAGGCCTCAGAATGCGCAACGTAAGCTCGACTAGCAGCGCCTGATACTGTACCCCGAAACCCCAAGCCCTAGAACGAAGGTTCCTTAGTGGTAAGCTTAGATGCTTTCGGGTTTATGCAAACAGTCCTTTCCTTTCTCACAGGCTCACATCATCAAGAGCCTGAAACTGAAGCGTCGAAGCTCGAAGCCCTAACCTGAAGGCAACCCGACTTCGAACGCAAACGCCACCGAAACACACACACACACAGAGACACTTACTTTGCACTCTCCCGTTCGAGTCAGAGACTACGCTCTTGTAAGGACATGGGCACAGGTGGGACCAAGTTAAGGTACGTCGTCTTTCAAAAAAAATGATATAGCGGTGTCGTAAAGTTGAGTGCCGTTCTGGCGACATCATGCCAACCGTATGCTAAAGGAAAATCTGCGCACAAACACGCAAGAACAACAAAAAAGAGGACTTCAACCCCTCCATCGCCTAACTTCACCAGGATCCTCTTAGTAGATCCTTGTATGAAAACAGTACTATTGAAGTCCCCGAGGCCCCTGCTAAAGCCAACATGAGGAACCTTCTGCAACTTTGCTCTCGTTCTCCATCAACTACAGTTTTGAGACTTGGGGGGCCTTAGTAAGTAGTTTGTACGTGACCTAAAAGTATCCTAGTTTGAGATTACCCTACATCTATCCTTTCTTTTAACCCACTTACTACACCCCATGATCCTTTCCGCGCCTACCTGGTATGTATGTGGGAGCTGAGGCAGGAGCCGGGCTCTAGTAAACACATGGTTCAGTTTTTTCAAAACAAACTTCAGTACTAATCAAGCTCGTAGATCACTCTCGGCATCCTTTATTGCCTGATTTTCCCGACGGTCCATGGATAGCAGACCCTGTGAATCGCCCGTCCCTTCAGTAGGGTCCAAACACATACTGGTGAGAATTGCATAGTCCACTCGAACATTGAGAGGTAGTCTTCTATACCACTAACCTGCGCGGAGCTACCTTTTTGGCTGGTACTTGGACAGTTTGGATGAGCTCTTGTAGCTGCGAAGCAGCGTCGCTGCCTCCATTGGGGTTTATGGTTTGGATCAAGTACCCAGAGAAACCAATACCCCTTAATTAAGGAATATACCTTAAATCATAATATGAAGGCCTCTATAATTTTTAGGGTATATTCCTTAATTAAGGGGTATTGGGATCTCTGGGTAACCCCTTGCTCATCACACCGTCTGCAAGAAAAGAAGGCGTGACCAACGGGCATTTCCGCCTTCGCGCCTCTCTTCCGGGTGTCTCGGTTCAAGCTGAGGGTTTAATCATTCGGCTACTGGAGAAACGAAGTAGTATACTGCTGATGGACAAAATCCTGCATTACCCATTATAAGGAATATACCATAGTTCCCATAGTTTAGAGTCCTTAGGGTCATGCAGGATTTTGTCCATCAACAGTAGGTATACTTCGACAGGGAGTGTGGTGCATGTTTTGTTCAGCCATCCCCAGGCTACAGCATGCACAGAAGTGGTGACGGAGACGAGCCATTAAACGTCAAGGTCACTCGGCGGACGCCCAGTGTGGGCTTTCAAGTTTGGTATTCCGAGGAGCACATTGGATCCTGACTTGACCTTACTCTTGTTCTGCAATGCCACAGAGAGCGAGGGAGAGAGAGAGGGAGAGAGAGAGTTCAGACAGAGATCAAGGAGGAAAGGAGGGACAAAACAAAGCAAAGCACGCATTTCTGTCTTATCTGTCTGACGGTTCAATTGGTATCCTTAACCCTCAACCCTTCAAAAGGAAGGTGTACGGGTGTAGATGGGTCTTCTAGTAGGTTACTGCTTTGGTTCCTCAGAAAACTCTCAGATGTGCTGAGCTGGTCCAGCTTCCGGTGATGGCATGGTTCGGGTGGCGATTCTGTTCTGGGGTTGTTGTTCGCAAGCAGCGCTCACCCTTCGAACCTTGGTTCTACCAAAGTGGTATTGAGAATGGAATGGAATGGTTCATGCAGCTGCCGCGAAAGCGCTTTGGACAGGTTTCTTGCTGTTTGCCGCTCTGACACCGCGAAAACATGTTCCCGTGGAACTGGGGAGTCATGTTGCTCCTGGTCCTTGCCGTTCAAGCTGACGGTGCTAACGGCATGGAGGCCAAGCAAGAGCCGGAGGAAGCACCACCCGTTCCCGCAGATGCCGACGAACAACACCTGGAGGATGAGTTCCTTGCACAGGTTCTCAGCGCAAGCCTGGGTGACCCATGTAAGGTGGAAGATGAAATTGCAGAGGCTCTTGCCGCAGTCCCTTCAGACCCTTACCTAGTTGGCATTCACCCGGATGACCTGGACGAGGTCGAATGTGAGGGCGCTTTTCCTGTTGAGGGTACGCAGGGTGAGGATGTTGGTAATGGTGTCGTGGAAGCTGAGATTCGGACGACGGGTCCGTGGAAATGATGGGCACAGGGCCCAGCGGCACCATTGCCGATCCCATTGGGAGCATTCCTGGCAGCCACTGAACGCCGCCCTCCGTGAAGGGTTCGAGAGGGGGTTGCAGCATAATGCAGACCAAGTTGCCGGGAGGGAAGACGAGGGAGGGAGGCGGAATGCAGCTCGCACGTAGCAAAAAGGGGAGAAGGGAACCGCCACCCCGCGAGAAAGGGCCAAGGCAGAAGCCCATCTGAACGTGAGTGAAGGAGCAGGAGCTAAGCAGATAAGGCCTGGCAGAAGGCGACTGGCATATAACCAGAAAAGCCGCCGCCCAGCCGCAAGGAGCTAAGGAGTAGCTTTGGGCAGAAGGCGGCTGGCACATAGCCAGAAAAGCCGCCACCCGTCCGCAAGCACGAGTGAAGGAGCAGGAGCTGAACAGAAAGGGCCTAGCAGAAGCAGCGTGAGATAGGAGTAACGGCGAAAAGGCCACGGGCAGGACAAGCCAATGCGCACAGAGGCGCGTCCCAAAGAAAGAGAGCCAATCGCACACGGAGGCGCAGCCCAAGAAGGAACACGGAGAAACGGCCAAAGGCCACGCCGAGGACAAAGCAGGCAGCAGAACTGGCCATTAGCTCACAGAGGCGCGGCCCGAAGAAGCAGCACGAGGTAGGAGTAGCGGCCAAAACGGCCACGCCGAGGACACACAGGCCAATAGCGCACAGAGGCGCGGCCCGAAGAAGCACCACGAGGTAGGAGTAGGGAGTAGCAGCCAAAACGGCCACGCCGAGGACAAAAGAGGAACGCAGCAGAGGACAGGCCAATAGAATAGCGCACATAGGCGCGGCCCGAGGCAGCACGAGGTAGGAGTAACGGCCAAAACGGCCACGCCGAGGACACACAGGCCAATAGCGCACAGAAGCGCGGTCCCAAGAAGCAGCACGAGATAGGAGCAGCGGCCAAAACGGCCACGCCGAGGACAAAAGAGGAACGCAGCAGAGCAATAGCGCACAGAGGCGCAGCCCAAAGAAGCAGCACGAGGTAGAAGTAGCGGCCGAAACGGCCACGCCGAGGACAAAAGAGGAACGCAGCAGAGGAAAGGCCAATAGCGCACAGAGGCGCGGCCCGAAGAAGCAGCACGATTTAAGAGTAGCGGCCAAAATGGCCACGCCGAGGACAAAAGAGGAACGCAGCAGAGGACAGGCCAACAGCGCACAGAGGCGCGGCCCGAAGAAGCAGCGAGAGGTAGGAGAGACGGCCAAAGCAATGCCAAGAACACAGCAGAAACACACCAGGACAGGCCAACAGCGCACAGGGTTGCGGCCTGAAGGAGGAGAGGCAGCGCCAAGCCACGCCGAGGACAAAGCAGGAACGCCCAGGCTGGTACCACACACAGCCGGAGACGAGAAGGAGAGGTCAAAACATATCGTAAACCACCGTCAAGCCGTGGGAGGAGAATGGCCACGCAGCAGGAGCGAAAGGGCCCAATCATACAGAGCAGCCCAAACCACGCGGGCAGCGGATGCAGGAAGCGATGACGGCCACAACGATAACACGAGAGCGTCAGGTCGAGGTTCGAAAGCAACCAGCCGCATGGAAGCATGAATGGAGCCAGGTAAAGGTAAAGGGAAGGGCAAGGAACAGAGAAGACGAAAGAGCAGAAATGGCACTGTCGCCCCATGGAGGGACTGCGGGCTGGGGGGAGGGTGCTCGTCGGCGGTTGGACCGCCTTAGTTCTTTAGTGAGAATTGGGGGGTTTATCAAAAGGTTACTTGTCACAGATATGGCCCGTTCCCAAATATGGATTATTATGCGACAGAATGCTGGGATCAGCATTTACATGCCAGATTGGGCCAGATTATTGCGTTTTATCCGTATTTCTTCGTGTTGTTCCTCTTGTGTTCCATTTAATTCTTGATTATTCTCAAATCTGCGAATTTCTCTCGGGTTCTGCTGCTTGCTTGATCCGTATTTCTTCCTATGTTTCCTCTTGTGTTCAAAATACTTCTTCGTGCCACCAGGCCTGTCGGTCTTGGTTCAGGATAAGGGTTAAGATGAGGGCTAGGGTTAGGATAGGGCCCAGGGCCCAGGGGGGGGGTAGCTCCGAAGGTCGACACTGTCAAACATATTCCCCAACATAACGTCAACAAATTGGGCAGCATTTCCTTCCCCAGAGACCGTCGCAGAAAAAGCATCAGAAAACGCAGGATTTTTTTTGGAATAATTCGGAATAATTCGGAATAGTTCGAAATAATTCGGAATAATTCGGAATAATTTGGAATAACTTGGAATAGTTTGGAATAGTTCGGAATAATTTGGCATAATTTTGCATAATTTGGGATAAGTTTGGAATAATCGGCAGGACTCGGGACGAATATCCATGGGTTTGCACACTTGAGCCAAAAATCTTTTTCTTCCAATACATCCCCTTCTTGGGCACCACCGCCACCACCGCCACTTCCACTGCCACCACCACTGCCACCACCACTGTGACCACCACTGCCACCACAACCACCGCCAACAGCAGCAGCAGCACCACCACCACCACCACCGGCATCACCGCCAGCACAACAAACAAACCTGATCTCGGGAAACATGGAAGCAGCTGGCTGTGTCTTTTAAAGTTTTGTTTTTCTTGTTTCTTTCGTTCCCAAATATTTCATTTTTCTTCCCAAATATTCGGCTTCCCTTTAAAATCTTTCCAAGATATTCAAGTTTATTCAACGTTATGCAAGATCTTGGATCCCTATGTTTTCTCTGTCAGAAGTACCCTTTCTGAGAAAGCCCCCTGACCTCATGAATGATTAGTGCCGCTCTCTGGGGTCCCGCCCCCCAAGAAAGAAAACCCCAGTTCAGCAAACTCCGTGGGCCCAGAGGGAAAGTGGTATTGAGAAAAATTGAGATCTCCGCAGTTGCCAACAGAACCGAATATGTGTAAATGTATAGATAATCAACCATCGTGGCCGCTTCAAGTTTGTCGCCTCGCACACTCTCGAGTAGAGAGACATGATCCTACAGCTCACGCTCCAAAGCCTTAACCCCCTTCATGCCGTGACCCAGACCCTAGACCCCATGCCGTCATGTGGACCTTCTGATGAGGAAACCCTTCTGGCATAATCTATAGGGATTATTGTGGGATCCAAGGATTATGACCCGGAAACAAGGGGGGGTTATTTTTCAGAAGTCTACATCACGATTCAATTTCCACATTCTGTCAATCTTAGTAGGGCTTAGGAACCACCCTTGCGCTCCCAGCTCCACCACCCAAGACCCTAAACCTTAAACTGGATTACATATGCTGCGATACGGAAAAGGTACGTTCAATAAAAAACCTTACACCGTCAGCTCGGCCAAGGTTATAGGTGACACTCTTGTTGTTCAGGGACAGAAGACCACGGGACAGGCCGGGAAGGGCTGTTGAGGGTTGAAGATGCGACTTAAGCTTTTCGGTTCAAGGTTTGCGGCTTATAGGGTTCGAGCACGAGCCACGGGTTCAACAAAAACTGAGTTTAAGGATTGGGTTTAAACCTTGAAGGTTTGGGTTTAGGGGCTCCAGGCTTGGACCAAGCAGTAAGTTCACTGTTGAGGTTCTTGTGGTTGTTTCACTTCCTTGTTGAAATGAGTATGCTGCAGTGCCCGTAAAATCAATCACAACTCGAGCCACTATTCCCGTGATCATTGATCTCTGGTCGGTGCTGCTTTTGAAGTACTGTTACAGCTTGTAACCCTTTTTTAAGCACGGACTTTGAGTGTATGCCCCTAAACCCTAAACCGCCCAAGAAACCGGAGCCGCAATGCAAATCCTCCGCGAGCCTCGGAAGGCCCTCAAATCACAAGCGACTGGGCCCGATGAGGAACGTAGTTTAGTTGATGTTCCTAGCTATACCTCTAGAGTGAAGCCCTACCCTATATATGAGAGTTTCCGAAAATGGGGGACCCTAATATAGTACCCTAAATAGTAGGATCATTATTAATATATAAGGACCCCCTAATAAGGTACCCCTAATGTTTGGAAACTCCCATATGTTAAGGCCCGACACTACACGTTCGTGTCGCGCAGATGGTGACCAGCTTTCAGCGGAGCTTTCCCCTCCCTTTCCTGCCGGACGCGAGCAAGGTCTCTGCCGCTGGCCATGCTGTTGAGAATGTCATACGAAGCCTTCACCCTACAGATACGCCTTAAACCCTAAGCGTTAAAGGCTGGGGTCGGGCTGTGTCTGGTTGCTGCGGCCACGGAAAGCGGGTCGCCATAGATCGCTGGGCTAGGCAGCATAGACCTTGGGGGTGTGTAATCGGGTCCTTTTTGGTGCATCTGTTTTCTTTGCCAGTTTTTCAGCTTCCCGTCGATCTTCATCCACGCGGTATTTCTGGAAGTCAAGCAGGCTGAGTGATAGTTGCTGACTACACGTACAACAATGCTCGCCCGTCTCGTATCATGTTGTTGTGTTGTTTTATTTTGGCATTTTTGTGATATTGTTTCATTCCGGGCGGGCACGCTGTGCAGTTTTCACTTGTTGTTTTTGCTTACTCCAAAACAAAATATGCCGCAAATGACATGTGCAAGGACACCTGGATTCCCCCAACCTGCTTCGCAAAAAAATCTCAACTCCAAACGGCGCCCGAGACGCCTAAAACTCCAACTCTTCAACCCCGAAAAGGCCCTAAACGGTTGTTGATATAAATCCTGCATTACCCATAATAAGGAATATACTATAAATCCCATAGTTTAGGGTCATTATGGTCATGCAAGATTTATATCATCAACCGAAAGCACAACATCAAAGCTGCATCCCAAGAGCAACCAAGGTGAACTACAGCGCGCAGGATGGGGCACTTCTGGCCCGGTGTCTGAAAGTCTTCGGAGAGCTTTATAACCTTGTGACTGACGGTGTTGCAAACCAGGTATACAGGGTTTGAGGGTTTCATATGGTTAGACATGGAGAGCAGGTTTCTGTGGGGCCTGGGTTTTTGCAGACCCACCTTTTGTATCATATTTACATTCTAACAACTTCAAGCACTTAAAGGGTACACGCAGCATTACACCACAGAGTCCCGTCTTCTATTCCTGGGTTTAATGTATTCAAGGTCAGGTTTAGCCTGTGTACATGTGGTACTGTATAGTCAGACGTCAACGGGTTCGACAGCGCGGCATTGGTTGGCTACGTATTCAAAGTTTCCCCACAACAACTGTCACAGACAGGAAACACCGTAAATACCGTGTATTCTGTACTTCATCAAACCAAGTCTTGGGATAGGCCACATAGATTCGACATGTTGGACACGGAGCGGCATGCCTTTATCATCCCTGCAAGACTCTTCATCCGATCAAGCCACTCCACCCAGCACCTGAACCAACGCATCATCTGCTTTGGCATGCAGTGTTCGGTTGTTGAGGAACCGGTACGTATTGAATTAGTGTGCTCATTTAAATTTGGCAAAGTGCACAGGAATCGAAATAAGTGTTTAGGTCAGTGCTTGAACTGTGTTTTTGCATGTCAACAAATATGAGTGAGTTCAATGTATGCATTAGCATGTGTGACTGTCAGGGAGCCAAGGGCCAAGGAATGATGAAAAACTGCCTGTGGTTGACAAGTCTGGTACTTGTCGAAGATGACTCGAATCCTGTTTGCGCATGTTCATGTCCTGCTGGCTGCTATAGGTACCTTCGCTTTGGGTATCCACAGTCTACAACCCAAAATAGCGAGCATCTGGATCAGTATGAATTCTGAATCCGGACATCTGGTTTTATGGGGCCGCTGCCGCTGAAGCCTCGCTCGGGGAATGAAAAAGTTCTACTGTGGTCCAGGCCGTTGCATGATCTTGCATGGCCTCCAAATCCACAAATATCGGTGTCAGCAAGTTTCTGGTTTGATATACAATCAACCCTTCATGTCCCTCTGGTCCTCTAAGGTTATAAAGGTGGCAAAGATTGGACCTCTGAGCTATGTAGCAACAGCAGTTGTGTTTACACGTGAAGACAGGCATACATATATATATATATGCACAATATTCCACACAAGCAAACCCTGTGTTTATAGACAACTCTTTTGTTTATAAACAAGACCAGGTGTTTAGAAACAACCTACCACATAACATTGTGTTTCCCATACGCAGAAACACCGTAAATACCAGCGATCTCATAGTTTTCTCAATCAAACAAGGTCTGGGCCTAAGCCACAAGAGCCGATACGTGGAAAAAGTCCAGAGAACGTATCAGTGTGTCAGTGTGCAAGATTTGCGGTGAGGTGAGGTTTGTGAACTTGTTGATTGGAGTCTGTGGCGCGGTGATGCTGGGGTGAGGGGGAGGGGGGGGGGGGGGGGGTCGGGCAGGGTCTTGGAACATCAAACCAACACTTCTCCCCCCCCCCTCCCCCCCCTCCCCCCCCTCTCGACCGCTTCCGCCACATCGCGACATATAACGATGAATACGAGCAAACGCAAAACCAGCAACACGTAGACAAGAAGACAAAAGTTAACTATCATATAATGTACATATGAAAGACAACGAGCAAATCCAACAAACTCAAAACGCTGAAAGCACGGTATACCGAAACGCACTGTTTATAAACAAACCCTGTGTTTATAAACAGACCGCCGGGTTTGAAACAACTCAGAGCTGATGTTGTAGTTGGAAACAAAAACATGCACGCATGCGCACCAAACGAGCGACCAACTGGCACAGAAACCCACGCACAACCACTCGAAACATAGAAAACAACTGAAAACAGTGGGCTGCCAAAACGCAGGCCCCACAGCCTCCTCTTCTGTAGACATATAGATATAAAAATAATATGTTATGCACTACAAAATACAGCTCTTTGGGCAGAGTTTTGACATGTAGCACCTGAATCCCTGAAACTACTAACGCCCCGTCGTACACAGCCTCGCCTGGATTGTCCGAGATCCCCTCGTGGAATCTGGCCTTTCATTCGGGTTAATTAAGGGGTAGGGTGCTTGATGCAACACAGATGCTAGTGATCTTAAGTGTGTTACATCACCGCAGGGCGTCGGAAGGTGTCAAGAATCTCCCCTCCCCGGACCAGATGCACAGAATAGACGGAAGTTCGAAAGTAGAAACGGGTGTCTTCAAATTCGAACTTATTCTAGGAACGATTTACAGGGGTGCTTGTTCTCGTACTGTAGCATCCAATCTTCCAAAGTCTACAGAAACCCTGCATTTTCTGGGGTCCTCCGAGTTTCTCAGGTGGATGTGCCTCCAAAACCAGGACAAAAGATCAGAGCTGCCGAAGGCATGGAGCTGCCGGAGATGGAAGAGACGCCCAACTGGAAGTTTCCGAAAATAGGGGACCCTAATATGGTACCCGAAATAGTAGGATCCTTATTATAAGGATCCCAACAAAAGGCACCCCAAATTTTCGGAGACGCCCGGCTCCTGAAAGCCTTCCATTCGATCAGTCTGGGCAGTAGGGTCCGGGTTTGGGGGTGTGGGGGCAAGGGCTTGAATGTGTGTTACTAAAAAACTGGGCCCCAGCTCCCTGCTTCTAAAAAGTTAAGACGCTTTTGTTTGGGATCTTCAGTAGACTACTGCCCTGGCAAAGGTGCGGACAGTGGAAGCGTTGCAAACTCCAAGCACATGGTGTTACCGGTCTGCTACGGAACCCTGAGCCAAACTCCCGCCGACATCCAAAGCCCAAACCGCTCCAAAGCCCCTACACGTTCTAAACCCCGAAACTCTGAGCCACATCGGGCACTATAAATCAAAATCAAGCCCTTGACTCTGAACAAATTTGAATGCAAGCCCCTAAGCCCTGAGACTCGTGATTGCTGGGCGAGAAATGCGAAGTTGGAGTTAGGGTGTAGCGGTTAGGGTTTAGACACCTTCCAGAACCTTTTCAAAAACCTTAGATCAAATCAACATAACCCCCTCAAAACTTGAAAAAACGACCACCGTCAAACCCTATGGCCTTCAATTACCCCACGCACCCGGGTCTCCTTCTCGGTGCTGCCAAGGATTCAGCCGCCTGAAGAGGCGCGCAGGGTGAACAATGTAGTAACATACGGTTGATGATATAAATCCTGCATTACCCTAAGGACCCTAGACTTTGGGAATTACGGTATATTCCTTATTATGGGTAATGCAGGACTTATATCATCAACCGTATGACTATGCAAGTATTATGGAACCTCTACTCGAACAAAATGAAGTATGATATAACATAACATAACAGACAAGAACATAATATGTTATAATATACCGAGAGATATCATGACATAACATAACATGATGTAGCAGTGGTAATATGTGGGTGTAGGGTTTTGGGGTTTAGGGTTTCAGGGTTTCAGGGATTAAGGTTTTAGGGTTTAAAGGCTTTAGGGTTTCGGTTTTACGGTTTAGGGCTCTTGTTCTGAGGCCTTTGTCAACGTAACGGTGCTGGTGCAAGTTACTATACGAGGGTTTGGGGATTTAGGGTTTAAGGTTTTGGATCAAAGAGACTAGCAACTACTAACCTACCTGCAGACTTCGCACCTACATAGAGAGAGAGAGATATACATATATGTATGTGCATATATGTCTCTATACATATATATGTATGTATATTTCATACTAAATTCTCAGCAAGAGCCCGGAATCGGGATCGGGCTGGCTGAGCCTGGACGGAGTAACAGGAACTGGCGCCGGTGAAAGAACGGAAACACATCGGCCACGAGAAGGATCGGGAGACAAGCTACTGCGGGGTTTAGGGTTTAGGGTTCTATGTAGGCTGATAAGTAGGGTAGCCTCGTTTAGGATACTTCTAACTCTACTTACAACCTGCTTGCTAAGTCCCGGGAAGATTTATGTACCAGCACTGCCATTCGAAACACCCGAAAGGACATCGCTTTTTCAGAACGACGACTCTACCCCCAGCCAAAATCTCCATCCTGAAGACCTTCTGCCCGCTGTACATTCCAGAACTAAGTACGGCACCGTTCCCTCAAATACTTACCTTTGATTAGTAGGGAATGGAAGAATGGTAGTAATAGTAGTTATAATTGTACCCCATTCCTCCATTCCCTACTAACCAAAGGTAAGAATAAGGGGAGCTTTTTCTAAGTATTAAGACCCGCTACAAAGTAGGGGCCTTAATCATCACACAGGTTTGGGAGCATACTCTATCTGTAAGGACCAGAAGGGAATGCTGCTACCAATCCCCTACACCCCAAAACCCAACCCTAAACCCTTCCTGCAGGTCAGGGATCTCTTTGACATCCTCGGCGGGCCGCAGACGCTTTTCGCAGGAAGTTCTGCGATTCGGATGGAGGGGGTGAGCAGATCGGTGGCTTTGCTTACCTTTGATTAGTAGGGAATGGAAGAATGGTAGTAATAGTAGTTATAATTGTACCCCATTCCTCCATTCCCTACTAACCAAAGGTAAGGATGGGGGGGAGCAGGTCGGTGGCTTTGGCTTTCGGTGGTGTATTACGATATGGGTGGTTGTCAATTTTGGGGTCCCTTTTTGTCTTATAATACGGCACCTAATGTTTAGGGGGCCCAAAAAGGTACCATAATTTTTGACAACCACCCATATCGTTAAAGAGGGACCATAACAGGTGCGATTAAGAAGTGCCATCAATGTCCATACCAGTTGGGAGGTTGTTGCCGAGCGGTTTTAGGGTTCCCGGGGTTGCTCTCGGAAGATGCGACAGCATGACATCCCAGAGGAGTTGTTCTGCACTTCGCAACTTACATGCGCAGAAAGAGCCCCTAGTCCACACCTAAACCCCAATCAATCCTGGCATCTTTCAGCGCCAACTGCAGCCTGCTATTCGGGAACCACAGTGTGGAACAGAACAGTTCAATACCCCTTAGAGTCCGTACATATTTATGTTGTCATACATCCCAAAACCCTATTTCTGTTGGTGCAGGCTTCTATGTTAGATGGGCAAAAGCCGAGACCGTAGTCCTGCAAGGGAAGCCTACTGAGCGATGCTGGTCCGTCACTCCAGTAACATAGGGGCCTAAATAATTACCTATACTATTGTGGGGGTTCCTTTATCATAGTAGAATGGGCACCAAAACCCTATTCTAATTATGAAGGCCCCTATATTAGGTCGATTTAGGGTTCCGAGCTGCTGCACCACGAGGCTTGTGGCTGTTGGAAGACTGGGGCTTTGCTCCCAGACCCCCTGGAGAATCCAAACGGGGGTTCCTGTAAAGTACCCTTAGCAGTAGAGGGCCCCAAATTAGGGGATCTACTTTCTAGATCCTCCCCGGGGTCTGGGCTAAAGAGCGTGTTTTCCAACACCGCTTGCTACGCTACTCAAACAGAATTTCTCCCCTAATCCTAAAGCCCCTCACAGATATACACCTACACACACACACAGACACCAAGCTGATAGTCACACCACCACGAGTCCATCCCTCACTCCCCTCATAACCCTCTCTTGCCCCTGTAATGCCCTAATGGGTCGGTCATCACTTGTGATCATTGTTGGGCCCGGCAGTCCCCCATACGAAGAAGTATACCATAGCTGCTCTACTTTAGGGTCCTCACAATACTGCAGAATCTTGTCAATCATCCGCCAATCCTTAGGGCGAAAGGGTCATAACTTACAGTAGGTCATGCAGTAGTTGCATTAATTCTAAACCTCAACCCCCAACCCCTAAATCCTACCATGATCCCCCTAAATCCCAAATCTCAGGATGACCGTAGCCTTCGCAGACTCGCAGCGGCGCGGGGCGAAGGACTGCCGGACCTTTCCTTTCGGGCTTAGGGTCTTGTTCATAGTCGGATCTGTGCATTTCGTTTGGGCTTCCTTCTTGGAGGGTTGTTTACTACTGATGGCTTTTACTGGGTCACCTAGCTTCTCAGAGCACACAGCCTGTCGTCAGGGATGTGGCCTTTGCAAGCTTATGTTCAGGGCCTTTGCCAAGTAGTAGAGTCGATTAGGTAACCTTTTAGCCTTTTTCGGGTAGTATAAACCCTTAAATAGCCCCGATATACTCAAAAAGGTTAACCTTTAGTTCCCATGATACCCGACAAGTAGGTTCGGGTAGTATACCTAGACCCTCCATCTACCCTCTATTAGGACCTAAATGCCCCTTATTTGGGACCATATACCCCTATTTGAGGTACAAGGAGGGTCCTGGTATACTGGTTCTCATGTTCGGGGCAGGGGGGGGACCGACGCAGTTTAGTCGGGCAGATTGGAAGTCTTTGAGGGCTGAAAACGGGTACTTAGAAATAATTTTGAGTTTTTGGTTATTATAATCCCTAAGAAACAGCTAGAATTACAATTTTTGCTAGGGTTCTAAGTTCAGTATAGTAAAAGGTATAAGGTTTGGGAGAGCTTGAAAAACCCTACTGTAGAAGCTTCAATATTCACCCATATTCTTATTCCTTAACGTTCATTATTGTAGATATACTATAAGGTACCCCTAACCCATCCTAAACCCGAGCCTACTGTCATTATTCAGGCCCCTGTACTACAGAAATCTCAGGGTTGAGGAGGTAGGGGACCTTCGATTTTTTGGATAACTTGTGGTGGTTTCGGGTTTAGGGCCTTGCCAGTCTTGCAGTGCTTCCCAGCTGATCGGCAGAGTCTGGGTTCAAAAAAAGGGCCTTGCCAGTTGAAGGCTTGGGGGTGAACGGGCATGGCCTTTAGTGCGCGGGTTTAGGCTACGGCGTGTGTCTGCACTGGGGGTTTCCGGCCTTGATGATTTGTTTCAAGGTTCGAGGTGGGAGTTCCCGAATATAAGGGACCCTAATGTAGTCCCCTAAGTAGTAGGATCCTCTTATAAGGATCCCAAAATAAGGTACCCCTGATTTTGGGAAACTCCCAGGTATTAAGCCTGTCAGAGCCGAACAAGGTCTGCTTGTGAGCTAAGTAGGGTTCAGCGTTTAGGTCTACGTAGCTGAGCAAGCGAGCTTTGCCAAAGCTTTCGGAAGTTATGGAGTACTCTAAGTCGCGCGTTGGTAAGCTTGCTCACGTCCTTTATGGTCCTTCGAGGCCTGAATACTTAGTTTTTCACAACCGCCTTCATAGTCCCTACCCTATGATGCCGAAACACCAAACCATCCAGTGCTTTGGTTTCACACACCCGACTCAGTCAGGACCACATGGGTAGTTGTCAAAATAAAGGTCTCCTTTTTGGGTACCCTAAATAATAGCTGCCGTATCATAAAAGGGACCCAAAAAGGGACCATAGTTTTGATAACCACCCACATGTCTCAAACTTTGATTATCCGACTGCGAGCACCAAAACCCCAAACCCTATGCTACGAAGCCCACTCCAATTCAGCCGAAGGAATTCCACAGCCGGCTTCGAGGAGGTCAGGGTTTCGGGTGTCGGGGACACTTCAGTGCTGGTGCTTCAGAAGAAAAGCTCGAGATCAAAATGGGGTGCTGTGGTATAAGGGGTCTTTGAATCTTGGTCCTGGAATGTCACATGAACCTTTCGGGCAGAGAGTTTGGTTTTGAAGGTGTAGGATTCAGGAGTTTGGGATGTTCGATTGTGCTAAGGTTGAGGGCTTGTTTAGCGGTTGATTGCGGCGTCGGGTTTCTAAGGTACTGCTGATGGACAACATCCTGCATGACCCTAAGGACTCTAAACTATGGGAACTATGGTTTACTCCTTATAATGGGTAATGCAGGATTTTGTCCATCAGCAGTAGGAATGAAGTTTGCTGGATAATGCCGGGCTTGGGTTTGGGGCGAGAAGGGGTGGCCGCGGTGCTCCCTCCATTCGTCTGCAATTGCAGCCACCAGGATGCCCAGTGCTACCCTTATTCCGTTCCCTTTTTGTTAGTCCTAGGTTCCTGTTAAAGTTACCGAATACCAAAAAGGGAGCCCTTGGTATTTCCGGGTTTCTGGGCATCCCAGGTCGACGTTTTTAGCGTTCACTCCGTGGAGATCTCCATAGACTGGGATGCAGCTCCGGACCCTAAAACCCTGCACCTCATACCACGTCAACAGGCACCAATTCCGAAAATCCCGGCGTCTGCTTCCCAGAGACTCCAGTACCACTTCAGTAGGGCTTAATCTTAGAGTGATTGTTGCAATTATTAGAGTTGTTCATCTTTATTGCTGTCATTACTGTTATTATGGGTATTATTTGCAAAGTAACTATTGCTGCTATGGTTCTTATTGATGAATATACAATATCATTACCCAGATGCCGTTATGGATCCCTGTTATTGGGGATGTCAGGCCTCCATCCTGCGAGCCTCATGGGAGGGCTGAGCGGCTCGGCTCTCCTACTGAGCATACAGACATGTGTAAGTATACGTGTAGGATATCCATGTATGTACATACATAGCCTATGTGTGCATTTGTGTATATGGATACACAGATATGTATGTACATATGCACAGAGTCGGAGAGATGGATGCGCATCATCCTGAACATGACGATAGTGGAGAAGAGTATACAAAGAACACGGTAAAACTACAGAACATGTAGCGACAGACGCAGCAAGTTGCAAGCAAGTGGTCCTTCACGTATCCCGAACAGAAGCTGCAGGTAAGATACTGATCGCGGAAAGGTTTGGGATTCAGTGTACTCTGTACGCGCTGCTTACTCGCTGCAAGGAGGGAAGTCACCGGACAGAGAAACTGATTCTGAGAAAATGCATGCTCTGTCATGGGAGCAATCTGCCGGGTATCGACACTTCCGGAAGTTTTGGGTTCGGGAGGATTTTGGAGCTTGGGCCTGAAGTAGTATTTAGCATCTTCGTGGAGAGACATGGGAGTTTCCGAAAACTAGGGGGTACCTTATTTCGGGGTCCTTATAATAAGGGCCTTAAGCTCCAAGCACAGCATTCTTCCTCAGGGCGGGTGCCGAGCGGTCCCATGCCCATGGACCCCTTCGGCAGCCTCTGGCAGGAAGCACACCAGGGGGTTTAGGGTTTAGGCCCTGCTGTTGAGGAGTGTTCGCTGGCACACAATCCAAGCCCATGCTGAAAAGGGAGGTGTGGGATGCGGATGTGACATGCAAGGTTCTCTTTCTTTGCGGATCATTCCACTCTCGCCGAAACCCCCTTGAGGGTTTTCGTCAAACCCTGGGTCTGCAGAATAGCATGGCATATGGGACTGTATAGTAACCCCGTGCTGTTAAGTTTAGTCTTGACATGTCCGTGTTCGGTTTTGATGGTTTTCCGTGGAAAAACGATAAGAAGAAAATAAAACTATAACAAAATTCAATGAAACGGTAATGCATTTTTCGTGGTAAAACGATAAGAAGAAAATATAACGATAACAACACTCAGGGATAAGGATTTTTATACGGGGTTATTATACAACCCCGTATCAGCAGCACAGTGAAGTACAACCGCTCTTCGGGATTCGATTCGGGATAGCGAATCGTGACCGATGTGCAGGCTCACGACGCAGCCACCCAGTGCATGATGCCCAAAACCGGAGGTTTCCCTCCCTCCACATTGCGTTTCCCAAGCAGCAGCAAGTGCCTTTTCGCAACGCGTCAACTCCCGGAGCCCCAATCCCCAAACGCGAAGTTTCAACCTTCCTCGCCAGGCATTGCCCCTGTGCCGAAACCCTAAGCCCCTAATATAGCCTAGTAGTAGAGCAGGTAACCTTCAACCTTTTTGGGGTAGCACAATCCCTGTCTAACCCCTATATAATCAAAAAGTTCCCCATGATACCCTTGACAGTCTAGAGACCTCGCTGGCATTGCCGAGTGAGCATCCAAAAAGATCGACCCTTAGAGCCGTACGGTTGATGATATATATCCTGCAGTACCTTAAGGCCTTAAGGACCCTAAACTATGGGAGTTATGGTATATTCCTTATTATGGGTAATGCAGGATGTATATCATCAACAGTAGGAAACCCCTAAACCCTCAACCCTGAACCCTGAACCCCGAACCCTTCGGAGGGACACATTCATAGACCCTGAAACCTGAACCCCAAACCCTTAGAGGAGGGAAAGAAATCCCCAAACCCTGGACCCCAAACCCTAAAGCGAGCAAACCCTAAGCTGCTCCCCAAGTTCCTTTGCCACAAGGATGTCTCAGGCACTAAGTTCTCTCACTCTCACAGCACAGAGCATGGGGGAAGTCCCCAGTTAGGTCAGGACCAATGTTAATCTTGAAACCGTGAAGACTACTTGGAGGTTCATGGATAGTTATAAGTGGGGTTGTAAGTAGGGGAACCATAGTTGGGGGACTTATAACCCCATTTATAACCACCCATGAACCTCTAAGTAAACTGCCCTGAACAACTCTTACCTCTGAAGTCCTGGAGCCCTCTTGATGTGAATTTCTAAAGGAGCTGTCAGACATGCCAGAGCCTATGTGGCACGAAGAAGTGGAGACTGAAGGCGGCGTGGGCAGTTTGGGCTTCGGGTAGCTGCTGGGATGTAGTAAAAGGGTCGTGTTCTGATTTCGGGCGTGCTGAGTTGGTTTACAGTATTAAGCGATTGACATCGTTCAGGACTCCTGCATTGAGGCTTCTAGCTTCGAATGCCATGCCAAGTTCTTGGTGGTTTCGAGCCCTCGGCAAAAAAATGTTACACAGATTGTAATCTAAATTGCAAGACAAGCTCCAGGAAATCCCTGAAGAGTTGAGGCTCTGGAGGAGTTTGGGCTTAGGGTTTGAGGAACCTTCTTGTGCAGACAGCCTTTCTGGGTCACCCAGCGTCGTCGCATCTCCTTGAGGGCGCATGTAAAAAAGGATTCGAGGATTCATCCTGAACATGAAACTCTTGAACTGCCCAGAAAGCCCAATACTCCTTAATTAAGGAATACCTGGAGGTTCATGGGAAGTTATAAGTGAGGTTATAAGTAAGGTATCTGTAGTTATAATCTATATTAGGGGACTTATACCCCCACTTATAACGAACCTCCAAGTAGACGGCGCATAGCTATGGCATAGCAAGTTCCTTCCCGTAGTGTTCATGTGAGCTGTAGTGTGAAGCCGCCCACGTAACCTCTACCCTTTGGGGATTTATAAAACCCTACCAGAACTGAAAAGGTTAACCTATTTGGGGCTAGGGTACCCTAAACCCCCAAACCCGAAAATCTCTAGACCCTTAAACCCTATAGTAGGAGGGAAAGAGAAGACCCCTAAACCCTAAACCCCTTAAAGATTTCCCCCGGTAAAAACTCGGGGGCAGGACCTGAGGAGACCAGCTCCACCACGCGCGCACTGCCCGTGGCGCGTGCCCCGGAGCAGAACCAGGGCGGCGCAAGCCCGGCTTCTGGGACGATGTCAGACGAGACTTGCGGTGATAGGGATCATAAGGGTTCCTTAAAGGGATCTATAAGGGTTCTATATGGGGGTTTAATCTAGGGGCCTTGATATCTACACCATCTTTGGGGTTGCTTGCTATAACTAGAGTGCAATTTTTGTGCGGCCCTATGCAATCTCCGTCTTGGCCTCCTGTGAGACATAACCAGAGTCACATCAAATCCGGAGATATCTTGCACGTTGGCAGGTGGCTCTTGCTAATAACAGTACCCGCCCTCTGTGAGTGGACGCGAAAAACAACGAAGGCTGACTCTGTACATACTACCAGCGTAGAGACTTCAGTTCCCATCTCAACTCAGCTCCAAGACCAAGCCGAAAACTGTGCCGAGTCCAGCTCCGCAGAAATGTCTTCAACGTGCCGTGTCCAGCGCCAGTGCGGCTGAAGAAATGTGCCATTGCAGATTCCTGGGCGTGACCTCCAAGTTTCCAGTCTAGTCAGATAACGCTGCCGCTGTCCTCACTGTGAGGATTGTGGGCGGGATCGTCAACGGTGTGCCACCCGTATAAAGGCGAAAACAGAAAATCCACTTCAGCTGCCCGGACTGGAGTGGAGATGCCCGCCCTGGTATTCGTCGCCGAAAGGCTAACCCTTGATAAGGATTGCTCGGCGCACCCGGCTTCCCGCTTGGAGGGTCCAGGGTACTGTGCATGCCATGGCAATGAGCTGTGAGGGAACAAAGGCAAAGGAGAATCATTAAAGGAGCTGCCAATGCTCGGGCCGAAAGCCTACTAGAGTACAATGGGCTCCAAAGCTCGAGTATTTAAACCTCAAGGAATGGAGGCTGTGATTCCCCATAGGGATTACTAGAGAGCTCGGAATCGGTTTAGGGTTGAGGGTTTACAGATTTTACGGTTTAGGGTAACGATGTCAGACAAGACCTTGCCTTTGAAATGCTCAGTGCTCCCGGGTGCCGGTGTTGCTGCGTAGGCTATCCAGAGATCCCAATACCCCTTAATTAAGGAGTATTCCTTAAATTATAGAGGCCGTAATAGTATGAGTTAAGGTATATTCCTTTCTTTAGGGGTATTGGGTTCTCTGGATATCAGTCCTTGCCAGAGGCTGTGAAGCGTTGCAGCTCCTTTCGGTCTTTGTCATGGCTTTGCCAGCAAACCCCTCGTCGTTTAGAAAAGAAGCTCACGCCCGGTCAGCCTTTTGAACAGAGCCATCTGGCGCCACAAGAGGGACTGCAGCACGGAATGGGCGTGCATGCCGTGTGTTTGCTTGTCTCCCCCAAAGCCCTAAAGCAACAACACTTCACCCCGCCCGAGCTCTGAATTAAGCAGCCTAACTTGAGTTCAGGGTTTGTCGGCAGGTTCAGGTTTAGGTTTGCAGTCCTGGGTCTCGGATACCGGTATTCAGCTAAGCCTGAATCCACAAGGAGTTTGCGAAAATTAGGGGGTACCTTATTTTGGGGGTCCTTCTAATAAGGATTCTACTGTTTGGGGTACTAGATTTGGATCCCCTATTTTTTGGAAGCTCCCAAATCCAAGGTTGTCGTGCAGCCCGCGAAGGTCGCAAAGCCTTTCTGGCGCCTGGCATCCACAGCAGATCTGTCCAGGAACGAGTACCTGGACATTGTGGCGGCCTCGGTGCTCACTGCTTTGAAGGTTTTTGGAGCTTGCCCTTCCCCAGAGAACCCAATACCCCTTAATTAAGGAAGAAACCTTAAACCACAATTTTCAGGCCCCTATCATTTAAGGGTATATTCCTTTTTGAAAGGGGTATTGGGATCTCTGGGTCTTTGCCCTGGAGAACCCTTACCAGAACAAGCAAGGGTGTGGAGAATGAGTGATAGCATCCCCTTGCGGTCCCTCTATGGTTCTACTATACTAGAATGCCCAGTACTACCCTTATTCCCTTTTTGTAGTCCTAGGTTCCTTATAAAGTTACCCAATACCAAAAAGGGAGCCCTTTTAATTCCTAGGTTACTGGGCATCCTAGTATACATGAGCCGTCGTTTCGCTACGATGCGTCCTCCGATCTTTCTAGCGCGTGCTCGTGGCTTTGCGCAGTCCTGTCCCAAAATGGGAGTTGGTTTAGGGTGCATACGGTGTCTAGGTCTTGGGGTTTAGGGTGCAGGGTCAGCTGGGCCCCTTCACCAGAAACTGCGGGCTACTCTACTACTAGGGAAAATAGGGGACCCCAATATAGTTTAGCACCCTAAATAGTAGGATCCTTATTATCAGGACCCCAAATAAGGTACCCCTTGCCTTGAGACTGTTTCTGGTCACAATTCCGGTTCCAGACGCAGCTTCAAGGGAATCCCTAAACCGTACCTTAACCCGGAATGACCTACCTTTTTAAAGACTTATAAAAGGAAATCGCAATAAGGCACCCTAAAAAGGTAGGTTATTCAGAGTTAAGGTAAGCCCTAAACCCTACTCCGCCTACGCCCCTAAACCCTGAAACCCTAAACCGATGCCCCATGCGCCCTTGCAGAAACTCCGAATCCCAGGTCAGCCCCCAAGGGGTGGAGCTGGGGAAGATCGGAGGCACCTCGGTACCTTACTTTGGGGGTCCTTATAAAAGGGATCCGACTATTTAGGGTACTATTTGAGGGTGCCCCTGTGTTTGGAAACTTCCAAGTGGAGCCGAGAAGGGGTTCAGGGTTTCAGGGTCTAGGGTCTTAGGGTGTAAGGTTTCAGGGTCTAGGGTCTAAGGGTGGAGGATTTTAGGGTTCAGGTGCTCGTGCATCACTTCTTGGCGGTAAGATTCGGCAAAATCCCTTTAGTGGGCAGATATTTCGGCAGTCGGCAGTCTTATGTTCGTGTGATTTTGGGAGCTTAGCGTAGGTCTTACAGTGAGAGCGCTTTCACGTAGTGACGAGGTCGCTGTGAGAATAGCAAGAAGTGTTGCGATTGAATATGTGTTTTAAACTCCCTTTATTTCATGCATTGCTTGTGACTGATGGTTCGAAGCTTCACGTATACCTTGGGATCTGAAGTAGGGGGAGGCAAAATTAGAGTCCAGAACCTGCAGCTTAGCAAATTGAGGAATACTCCGTACGCAGAGGGTCCAAACGCCCTGGGGGCGCTGGCACAATGTCATTCGTAGGGCCCCAAACAAGCACGTAAGCAAAAATTAGGGTAGGGATATCCCATATACATCCCTCTTATAATGAAGCCCAATAAGGTAGGGATGTCCCCATAAAATGCTTATGCTTATGTGCTTTTTGGGTCCCTAAATTCGGTATCTGAACCGCCTTGTCATGAAGTTTTGGCTTCTCATGCTGGGTGTGACTTATGTAGCGGTCTTTGTTTATCGAGAGGCGACTACCCAGCGAAACCAATACCCCTTAATTAATTAAGGAAGATACCTCAAATCATAGTATTAAGGCCTCTATAATTTCAGGTATATTCCTTAATTCAGGGGATGCAGGCTTATCGTCTGGGTGCACTTAATTATGAAGTAGCGCGGCGAGATAAATACGACTGCATCTCAACACTAGGGGTCCATTTTCCAAGTGGCCCTTATACTGATACCGTTTTTGGCTTCCTAGACCCTGAACCCTAAACCCTGTTGGGGTCTCCTGTTAGGGCCAGTCCAGCCTGATTCTGTCGGGCTCCGCGATTGAATGAATATAGCGCATGGGTGGTTAGCATACGGACCGCACTGTGCAGTATTTAGGCCCGTCACGTACTTGCTAAAGTTGCTCACCTTCAATGCTCATGCTCATATACTCTTATGGTGTCTCATCTTAGCCAGGACACGCTGTGCAGGCATACGACCGCAAATATGAGGAGACCGTGCCTGGGTTGCCGGACACGCTGACCTGTCTAAACCTTAGAGTCCTTGCCAAAGGCGGCTTTGTGGAGTTCTTTTCCAAGGGTGATGCGAGCGAGGGGCCCAGTCGGCAAGTCCGGGGGTTCATGTGCTATAGGGGCCTAAGTGGGAGTTTCCGAAAATTAGGGGGTACCTTATTTCGGTACCCTTAAAATATGGATCTCGACTATATTAAGGGTACTATACTAGGGCCCACTATCTTCGGAAACTCACAAATTACCTAGGGTTCCTTTGAAGGGCTCCTTAAAGGGGTCTATAAGGGGTCAATCGTAGGGTTCTATACTGCAGGGGCTTAGATTAACCAATACTATTGCGGCGGTTCCTTTTTTATAAGTATTTGTATAAGGGGCCCCAAAACCCTATTCTAATTTTCAAGGCCACGATGGCAGGCCTTCATAGTTGGACTCGGGCTGCGGGGTATAGTACACTAGACTTACGGAATCCTACAGAGTGGTGTTGTCAATTGTTTGGGCCCCAATTTTAGACGAGGGCCGCAAATTGGTGCAATTTATATGTTTTCCGTGTGATATGTGCTAAAACCCAGTTCAATTGCTTCAGGCCCCGGTATTCTGCACTCCAAGCTTAGCCGACCTAGCTCACATCCGATATAAAGCACTCTCGGAATTGTTGAGGCTCGCTAGTCCTCCTCTTCCTCCCCTCCTCTTCCCCCCCTCCGACGAAAAATCCCAAACAAGAAGCCTAAAGCCTCCGCCCCAAAAACCCTAAGCCCTAAACCGGCTCCGCCTCCTCTTTTTTAGAGTTAAACGGTCAGGTCAGAGCCCGAAGAAGCTGCAGCTGCCGGTGCCCGTCCTTCAGGAGGACCGGTTCCGGGTGTTGGGGTTTAGGGTTCTGGGGTTCAGAGATGCTACGGGACTTGGTGAGGAGTATTGGGTTGTATGGTCTCTCGTCGTAGCATGTTTAAGGCTGTGTAAAATTTTTTGTTTCTGAACTATTGGCAATGGTATCCCGAAAAACTTGCCCTTTACAATGCACAACTGTGTCATGATACCGTAGAAGCCCAAAAGTTGGAAACCCCATAGCCTCAATCCTTAAGAGTACTTGGAGGGTCGGGGGACTTAGTAAGTAGGTAGTATGTAGACTTATAAGTACCCTAAAAGGGACCCTAATTGGGGTTATGGTACTTATAAGTCCCTAAAATAACCAGTTACTAAGTCCCCCGACCCTTCAAGTAATGTATAAGGAATCCCAGCACTCCTTGGCCTGACTCAGGTTTCCCTTTGTGGGGTTTACTGTAGACACCAGAACAGCATTTTGCCGGGGGTCCTGTCCGGTCCTTAGATGCTTCACACAAAGTTCACTATGGCATCTGGATTTCGATAACATATAAAAGGTGTGTATATCTTTTCGTGTCTGTAGGGGGTCATGATGCGCGGAACAGTCATAAGCCAATATATTGAACACATTGTTCTCGGAGAGTACCAGTGCCAAGAATGTATTTTCTAGCTTGCAAGTCGTGAGCTACCTCGAATTTTAGACCAGGGCTGTATGGCCTCTGTTGTTTGTACTATAGGGGCTTAGGTAATTTCCAGTACAATTTCGGGGGTTCTTCCTTATTATGATTATAGGAGAATGGGCCCCAAAACCCCATTCTAATTATTCAGGCCCCTATATTAGTTGCCGGACTTCTTTGAAGGGCTTGCAGCAGGTATGACAGAAAGCGAGGAGCCTGCTTTGGGCACTTCTTCCGTTCCAAGCAGGTTTCGAAGTTCAAGACCGCCGGGCTTCATGCGAACAGTTGTTATGCTTGAGCCTCAGACAGGAGAAGCAGCCCAATAGTAGGGTCTTGCGACGATAACAAGACCCTGTCCCACATCCCTTCCGAACAAGACCATGTTCTGTCTGCCTTGGTAGCTGAGTAGGTAACCCTTTCACCTTTTGGTGTTCATATAATCCTACCATATTTTGGTGTTCATATGATCCTACCATAATTGAAAAGGTGAGCCCTTTCTGGGCTAGGATACTCAGCCCGCAAGCTGCGTGTACTGCAGGGGCGGAACTGCCGGGCGATCTGTTCTCCCAGTTCGTAGGGGAAAAAAGCAGAGCCCAGAACCAAAAATCGGAAGCTAGGCAAGATCAGGACATGTAAAGGCAGAAGTCCGAAATATGATATATGTCTGAACATAAATATATATATATATATATATATATATATGGCTCGCGGGAGCCAAAAATATATATATATATATATATATATATATATATATATGCATGTATGCACCTTATCGACCGCATTTCTGTCGCCCTTGCTGCTCGGCAGGACTGTGCACAGACGCAGATGGGCTCGCAGGAGCAAGTGGTTCGCTGCCATATTCAGCCCGAATCTGTGAAGAGTGTGCACATCAATGTCATTGACGAATTGTGATTGCGGCTTTTTCTGGTTGGCCATGTGGTTCTTGAGCTTCCACAGGCTCATGGAAACCAAAGTTTATGACTTAGTGAACACCGATATGCGGCGTCAGCCCCAACTCGGCATCTGCAGTCACATAGGTAGTGATACATTCGGTTACCAGTACTTGGGTCAGGACTAGAAATAGCAGGACGTGACACCATATTACCTTACCTCTGACCGTAGTTGAAGCTACCCATAACCTTCAAGACAGGTTGGGACTGCCCTCGCGTAATAGCTCAGTGGCGTATACTGCTGGGTTACTACCGTAATACTTTACTACGATGACAATAAGTCAAAAGAGCTCATAATACCGCCATAACAATACCATAGCATCTAGCAATATAAGGTTACTATGGTCAAACAATGCCAAAAGTTGCTATGATCTTGCACTTGCCAGCTGCCGGGACGATAGGCATGAAGCCGTTTCTAGGTTCGGCAAAGTTTCTATAGTGGTGTTAGAGAGTTTGCGATTCAGGGTTTAGGGACCGTTCGTGTATATTTAGAACAGGGGTTGGGATGTTTTGTTGAACATTACGGACGGCCAGGGGATCTTAGACCCTGTGTATCAAACGGGTTTCGCTGAGCAATACACAGCCAAGAAGCGGCAATCAGGCAACGATTTAGGTGGCCGTGCTTGTGAGCTGTTTGAAGGTAGTGCCGACGCTACCGCCAGCAGTTTCGTGGGACATAGGGAAACTTTAGAAACCAAGCACCAACACAGACCCTCAACAGCATGATCCCGCTTAAAAGGTCCAGTGCCTACGCCCAAATCTCAGCACTAATAAGACCTAGTAGTAGAGTAGGTAACCTTTAACCTTTCTGGGGTAGTATTATCCCTATATAGCCGCTATATACTCAAAAGGGTGAGCCTTGAGTTCGCCATGATACCCGACAAGTAGGAAACTTAAACTCCGTTGTGGGGTTGCCTATTTACCAACTCCACAGCCTTGCCCGGCTTGCCAAGTCGTGAGAGTCAAATCTTCGTTCCCAAAATGTTCAACACCGCTTAGATTGGAAAAAGCATCGTAGGTTACGGTTATTCACCTTATAGTGCTTGCAAAACTAGACCAATATCACAAACTTGAGAGCTTTTCGCGGGATGGTAGCCTAAGCTATGCTGCTGTTGGGCCTGCCTGAGGAAGTCGCAGGGCTCGGTCGTCAAGAAAGCCTTTGGTTGAGGGTTAGGGTTTAGGGTTTGGGTTGCAGAACACCTTGCTTTCTGTTTTTCGGGTTGGGCGCTGGGCTGGTCTGGTGGTCGGGCTGGGCTGGTCTGGAGGTTGGCATGACAGGTCATTTTGCGGGGCGGGCGGGGAGGTGGGGCTGGGCTGAGTGGCTTGGGCGGATGGGCTGAGTCTGGGCTGGGCTCGGCTTCCGTTCTTCGATGGCTTAGCGAAGACACAAATGTCTTCGCATTTCAATTTCCCTTGGGGAGAGAGGGCTATCTCCAACAACTTCGTTGTTTATAAGCCGAGTAAACACTACGACTATATGCCCTGAGGTTTAGATCTACAAGCACAGTGTAACATCCTTCACGCGTAAACCCAAACCTAACCTTGCCTAACTGAGCCCTGAACAATAAAAGGCCCCAGCCGCAAGTACCTGAACAAGGCCCCGATTTCCAAAGCCTCGTACCTCAAAGATAGGGGGCAAGACGGCAACATCCGGATCCCTGCCTCACTGGGGACGGTTTGGAGTGTTGCGTGCACGGCATGGCATCCGGCAGAAACCACGTGCTGTTTGCGCTCACGGAGTGAAAAGCCAAAGGAAGAGCTCACGTGGCTAACCTGTCTAGAGATTCAATACATATGATTGCAAATGCTTGGGTTTAAAACGGCATGGCATCCGGCATAAACCATGCACTGTGTGCGTTCCCGGAGTGAAACCCAGAGGCTCCAACATTCCTGTATATATTAATGAATATACCTTAAATTATAGAAGGATCCTTAATATGATCTGAGGATTATTCCTTAATTGAGGGATGCTGGAGTCCCTGGCAAACGGGGCTACCCTGTCTAGAGCTTCAGAAGTCATGATAACACTAATCGTGAAGAAGCCTCAGAATCAGTGACTGTTCGTCACGCAATGTTCGGTATGATAGCTTTCTGAACGGGGTTGCAGTAAACATATGAGAGAGCTCGACGGAGTTGAAGTAAGCACATGAGAGAGCTCAAAGCCAAGCCACAAGAGTCTCGACAAGCAGGGTCTACTTGGAGGTTATAAGTAGGGTAACTACACAATTATTTACATTCTTCAATATTTAAGTATTCACCAATTGTAACAAACATAATTATGCGGTTTAATTGAAAAAGTTTGATCAGATAACAAGAAAGTCTGATAAAATCAGGATTTGTGCAATCTTGCGATCATTCTCCAAAATCTTGG